GAATGCCCCAGCCTGTATTGTCACTGACAACCGCTCTGCAGTGAGATCTGCTGTGTCCTTGGCTGCGCTGATCCCAGCAGGAGCAAGGGGAGCAGCGGCTCTGCTGCAGATGGCAGTGATGAGCTGCGACGCAGGACAGGGTGACGTCAGGCTCCCTTTGACGTGCGTGTACAGGACCAAAGCCCACGAGGCCTTTGCACTGCCTTTGCACTGCCTGAACGGAGACACTGACCCGCTCAGCTGACGGCGAAGGGAGCCACGGGAACAGAGCCAAAGGGAAGGAACTGCAGGCAGCGTGCTCAACAAGAAGCCTTCTCCATACTCTGCCAGAAACGTTAATGCTCACCCTGCCACGTAGGGGCCCTCGCCTTGTTAAGCAGTTACAAGCTCAGTGCAGAACTGGGAGGCCAAGAGGACATTATCTTCTGTGCTGCACGTCTTGTAATAAGAGAGAGAATAGCTCTTGATGGTTTTGTCATCTCTAGTATCAAACTACACCTGCCCAAGCAGGCAATCCCCACGGCCCCGCTGGAAGGCAGAAGGTGGGGCGATCCCCATTCTACAAACGAGATGCCGCCAACAAATGACCAATTCCCCAGTGACGTACAGAAAATCTGAACTGCTCTTCTCCCCTGCCAGGGCCCTCAGGAGACTACTCTCAGGTCTCTCTACTCCGCCCTGCCTGGACCTGCCCAGCAGCGTTTCCCATTTGCAGTGTGCAGAGGTGAAGAAAGTCCTGCCTGGGACACCTCCAGGGCAAGCACATTACTGACCATGTTGCCAGCAGGCTTTTGACCAAACAACTTGCCACCAACTCCCTCCACGATGACTGCTCAGCTCTGGTTCCTGGTGGGGGTGAACTGCCACTCATGCAAAAGGATATCTGTACTGCAGCTTCTTGATGAGCTCTTCAGGGGTAATAAATGTCCTGTACGTAGTCAGAAAGGCTTCACAGTACAGCACCAAATCTACAGAGAAAGACAAGAAAGCCTCAGTCAACCCTGCTTTCAGAAAAAGGAAGCTCCTTGTAAGGTTGAATCCAGTCTTACAGGAAGAGAACACGGACGCATTTTGACACGAATGGACTTCACAGAAATGCTGTGCTGTTGTTTCTTACCAGCAGATGGACCCTACGGCACAAGAGCAACAGCGAAACTGCCCTGTCCCCACCAGCCTGGCTCCCATTTGCAGCACTCAGGCTTGCTGCTTCGCTTATGGGACCACCAAAGGGGTCAGTGAAAAACACCTGTTTGTGGGACAGGAACTTTCAATAACGGGTCAAGGCAAAATGCGGTTTAGACCTTGGGGATACTTTAAAGAGAAGATCTGATGGTGAGAGGTGCGTGCCTGTGCTCTGTCTTTGCCACTTATGCAGCACAGAGCCCTGCAGAAAGACACGGTCACCCTTCCCTCCTGATCAGGAACGCACGTGTTTCAACATGATGATATGGTGCTGCAGACCCTCTGCCCTTGCTATGTTCCAGGAAATCTGCCCCAGGACAGTGTAAATATAAGATTATTTTCAGCCAAAAGAAGAGTAAACTGCACTGCAAAAACCGATGCTACCATGACCATGACCCTGCCACAACATAGACGCTGACACGGTGCACGTTTATTAATCTGCAGCAGTGGGTGCTACAGGCCCCAGAATCGCAAAGGCTTTGGCCATCATCATGGGCACAAAGGACGGAATTTGAAAAAGCAGGAGCTGCAAACGGGAAAGAAGATTTCAGGTCAAGACTGCAGTACACTCGCAGTCCCGGGCGAGGTTTGGTCACTGTGAACAGCAGTGGTCAAAATGGAAACTTGTTAGCCCTGGTATAAAACCACGCAGCACTGCAGGCAGCATGTGCAGCGGGATGGCACGCTGCCCCTGCCCGGTGCACTGCAACCACCGGCAGAGCTTTGTTAGGGGAGAAAAAGCTTCTGCCGTGCCTGCCCAGGCTAGGCTGTACATGTAAAGCTTGTTTCAGCCAGGACAGGGATCACCCACACCCATCTGCTGTAACATCCATCCATCGCGTGTGGAGGGTGGGAAAGAGCCGGGCCCAGTGTGCTAGCTGTGCCTCTCTACCTGCGGTGTTTCTCTTGGCAGGAGCCTGACAGAGACGCTGCTTCCTCCTGCTCTTAAATCAGAGCGCGCTGCTGCCTTTTGGTTAAAGGTAATCAGACATAAGCTCTAAAGCCGGAGGCTGGGTGGTCATGTCAGGGGTGAGTCCTAGGCCTCGTCCAGCTGTAATCCTGCACGCACAGCAAGCGCGTGTGGCTGTGAGGACTTAACTGACCATGGATTTTATTCCTAAAGACCACAAGTCTCTCTTTATCCCTTATTCCATTTAGCTCTTTTAGAAAACTCAAATGGACAAGAAGCATCATGCAACAGGGCGTGGAGTTACATTTATTCTGGGTTCCCATCTGCCCAAAAGGCAACGTGAGGTAATACAGCTGGTCTGCTCTGGCACTTGAAGCTGCCAAGAAATTCATCTTTAAAGGAAAGCCTCTTAACTATACCCCTCTGTGCCGTTTGGCTGATTGATTTACAAGCCCTGAATTCTTCTCATTGTAAGCTTAATTCATTAACCCTCTCAGTCACCCAAACACTGGGTTAGCATAGCAGAAATTCCTCCGTGCTCCATTCAGCTCAGCGGCTTGGCCGAGCCTGCGAGGCTAAGCTCTGTGACTATTCTGAGAAACGTGCCCCGCAGAGCTCCCTCCACCCAGCCGCTCTCCCTGTCCGCACCGCTGTGCATTCAAAATCCCGCTCTAGTTTTTCCTAGTCTTGAGAGATTCTCCACGGCTTCCACCTCACTGCCTGCAGCACCCTCAGAGCTCCCCATTCATGAACTGGAGCTCTAGCCACATCCCTTCACCAAGTAGCCGTCTTTCAACAGGAACAGTAGGCAAGTTCCTCCAATGTGATGCTTGTTCTGGAGAACAGCAGGAGTAAATCAGAGCTTCTCTGTTCCAGTTTCAGCATTTTTATAAGGGGTATTTCCACCACCTCATTTAGACTATTTTTTTTTAAATATACATATGTAGCCTTTGCGCAATCAGTTGCCTCCTCCTCTCTAGAATGTTCCTAACTTTGGTCCTTTCTGCCTGGATTCGATGCCTGATGTAAACACGGAAACACAGGTGTCAGGGGAAGGATTTTCTTGCTAGCTGAATGGTGCTGGTAAGTAATTGCAAACACCTTATGCTATAGTAAAAACCCTGCCATTTAAAAATGCACATTGAAGGTATTTCCCCTTTGACTATCAAACCTCTAAAATATGAGCGCTGAGTGGTTCAGCGGGTTACTGCATTTTGCCTTGCATCCCAGGAGATAAGGAGATCAATTCTGGTTAAGGCCATCAGCACAAATGTGTTTGGCAGGTTCAAAATCACTCTCTGGAAACATTGCAAAGGCTGTCTTTGCCACAGGTCTTGGAAAAGAGCTGCTTCATGTGGGCAGTGACTGGGTTTGGAGAGATAAAGTGGGGTTTTAACAAATCTAGAGCTAAGGGTTGCTGGCCTCCCTTTTCCTCCCCCACATCTCCTTCCTCGTACTGTGGATTCCCTCTCTGAACCGGTCTGGGTGGCTACCAGCATGCAAGTGGCACAGAGCGGGACTAGGAAGTAACACGGTAAGTTGAAAATGAGGGGTGTCAGCAGACCAGCGCCTGGACAGCTTGCCCGATGCCCACAGGTACTGCATTAGACCCAAACCAACGTCCGTCCTCTCCCGCTTTGATGCAACAGTCACTCCAGCAACCCCTACATCACCACTGCCCTGAAGTTCAAAGGGCAAGGAGCACCTCTGAAAACAGGCTCCGTGCCAGAACGTGCCACGGTCACACCTGCACTCGCAGAAGGCGGTGGCCTGCCTTGGCAGATACAGACACCCCAACACAGCACTGTCACCAGCTCCACTGGTGCGCCTCGCCTTCCAGTTCTGGGCAAGGGCTATGAGGAGTTAATACCATCCCTGCTGCTAAACGGAATGAACAGGCGCTTATCCAGCTTACCTCTGTTTCACCAAAGATAAGCACAATCCCCCCCGCAACTCGGAGGATCACGAATGCAGTCCTCTCCACCCCGGCCCAGCTGCCTGCAGTCGCATCGCGACTGCGCACGCTACAGAGACGCAGAAGACAAGCAGCAAAAGGCCGCGCCAGGCTGCGCTCCTCAGCGCTGTTTTGTGCATCCACTGTACCTTTCCTGTCGGTCTCTGTTGCGTGCACTAACAAAATATCTCCGGATCCACCGCGAACATCTGGCCCATCATCTCCCTGCAATGAGAACAGAAACACGTTAGGCATGGCCCAAGCTCCCTTCGGCCTGGTTTACCATCTCTGGGGTTCAAGCTCAGCAACAACTGGCAGAGTACGCAATGTTCCTGGCACTGCTCACGGCGCAAGCTGGGACATGGCCTTCAGTGCTGGGCTAACCCTGGAATTTGAATAAAACATTTTGCGTCACAGATGAGGATCTGGGCTGATCCTCACTCGGGGTCTCTGACTCCTTAAGGCCAGGCTGTGAACCTCAGTGAAAGCTGAACCTTCTGTCCACAGCAGAATGAACAGAAATGTCCCAGACTCCCAAACGCTCCCAGAAGGCCATTAACAGAGCAGTAACACTGCGGGAACTGTCTCAAAGCGCGGGATCACGTACCGCAGCGGCTGTGGGGTGAGAGGTCGTGCATTCAACCTGCATGTTCCTGGAACATCAAAACCTAGCAAGTTAATTCCCTAATCTGGAACTATTTGGCTGGAGGTCACCTGAAGTGATCCAATAACTGGGAGCAGAAAACAGCCCTGCTAACGGCTTGACCCCTGCCTTACCACTCTCTAAAAACATCTTTCTTCTAGCTACTGCAATTCACAACTAAAAATATGCAAAACTGATCTATCACTCAGCCAGTGGTTCCCACGCTGCAGGAAACAGCTCACAGTGGCAGTTCTATACCGTTTCAAACACGTAGACCGTAAAGAAAAGAAAGAAAAAAGAAGTGAAGGGTTGACACAGATCTGCTGTCCCAAATGTTCAGAAATCACTGGTTTTTAATTGTTTTTAAAAGGAAATATTCCTGCACAGGAGACTGGAGTCATGCCTGGCTTCCCTTAGCAATGTCTTTGTCATTTCAATATGCAAAACACTGAAAAAACCATGGATTACAGCCATGGAGCAGCTATGTCTAAGATGTGAATTTTTCGGGTGACTCTCTGGCAAGACTCATGAAATACTACTTAAGGAAAGAGTAATAGCTTCTCACTCTCTCCTGCACATCTCGGCTGACCAAAGAACACTCCTAAAGTGCCAGTAACTGATACATTCTCTCTGTGTTTCAGACTAGCGCCCTGACAGTCTGAAAGCTTCAAAAGCCTGCATATTCCCTCAAGCTGCATGTCAAAGACAGCTCGGTTCAAGAGCATAGTGAGCAAAGCTGTCTGGGAGTGCACCCAAGGCTAGAAACAAAGCCATTTCTCAAATATAGAAACAGTTACTTTGGCTGCTCTTCCACATCAGTAATTTAACGTCCTGCTCGGGAAATCTGCTAAACCTGCCTTCAGATTGAAAGGCCAACACCATAAACCCGCACCTGGATTTACCGTGCTCAAGCGCTCAGGTGCTTTATTTCAGACTGTAGCAGGTTGAAGAGGTGGGAAGGAGCAGACTGGGAAAAGGGCACAAGATGAGCTGGTTTCTAGATATATCTCACATTTTGTTAAAGCCTCATTCCTTGCTGATGCTCCCTGCCTGTACCAGCATCTCATACTTTCACAACAGCCTGCACACATAAAGCTGCATACCACTTCTGCTGCAACCTAGTTTTTCCCACCAAATAAAAGCTGATTGTTTGCCTTGCTTGTGCATACAGAGAATCAAATTTCAATACAGCATAAACCAAAGAGTATGAAAGCAAACCCTGAATGCACCTACCTCTTGCTTCAGTGTTAACCTAGCCATAATTTCACTGTGGTCAATAAGGGATAGCTCATCTACCTCTTCCCCCAACTGTGACGATTCCAAAGCATCTGGTGACTGCTGCTGCCTGTAAAAAAAAAAAAGGCAAATACCCATCAGTGTCGCTGCCCATCCGAGGGAAGAGATGTTGGGTCCACTCGAGCTCAGCGTACAAACCTTCATTAAATGACAGTAAGTACGCAGACAGTCTGGAGGTAAATCTTTTGCAAACAAGCTCAAATGTCTAGCTCTAATTCTGTTGCTTTGTGCATCTCTTGAAAAAGAGAAAGATGAACCTCTAGGACCTGAACGCTTGTCTGCTTGCGTTTCTGGCAGACAGGATTTTACTATGCCCTGCATAAATACATGCTTCCATGTCTCCTTAATCCACCAAATTTTTAGTGCACACAAATCTAAGCCCTTCCTCAAATGTACAGAGACTGAGCATACTCTACACATATATATCTTAGTCAGCTCATGACCCATTGCGCTGCTACAAGAGGAGATGACAGGCTCTCTTTTTGCAGGAAGACAGAGCAGAAAGCTCTATCACTTTTTTGGTGTACATCCACAACTCTAGTATTCCTTCCCCCAAAGGCTGGTACTCTTGAGCCTGGACACATGCTCTCTGTGCCTCTATTCCTAGAAAAAAAAAAAAGTACGCATGTACTTTATAGCTTTCCCCAGGCACAGGCCAAAATCCCAGGCACCAGTCAGTACTTTCAGCAGATAGTGAGCTGTGCACAGCACTCCTGCATTGTCTCCTTCACTGCAGGGATTAAAACCCCCAAACCAACTGCAGGAAGATGGGGGAGGGAAGTTGACTGTCGCACACAAAACAATGCTGTTCTCTATTTTTGCTTTAGAAATGCAATTGAAGAGCAATCTCAAGCAGCAGGGAAGCACGCACTCCACTCCTCCTGAAGCCCATCTGTTACAGCCTGCACCTCTTTATTTACATAGACAAATGATAGCTAAGAGCATTAGAAGGGATAATAAAGCCTCCTGCTTCGGGGCCTCCGCCAGCCTCTAACTGGCAGGGTTTGGAAGAAATTCCCCTCTGAAAGACTATTTCCCAACCAGACTTTTTTTTGCACGTTTCCCTGGAAGCGGGAGGGAGCAGCCACTGTCAATGACAGGACTGCCAATTAGATGGACTTAGGATGGCTAACACAGGCTGCATTAACCCCTACAGGCTCCCTGAGTTAAGTAACGACATCTGGCCGGGATCCTCCTTGTTCCGCAGGATCCCACCGCTCGCCAGGTGTGCAAAAAAAGTGGGCTTAAAGTTTAGAGAACACTGAGAAGGCTGAGGGCAGAGCAGGCAGGCCCAAGGACGGTTTGGTAGAGGGCAGGGCTAAGGGGACGTTGGTGAGACTCTGTACCCTTCGAGGCTGGGAAGCAGGGGTGCCAGGGGAGGCAGGCTCACCTTTCAGCACCATCTTTGCCCTCCTTCCCCATGGCACTGCTGTTCGAAGTGGAGTCTTTGGAGTGGCCGTCTTTGATAGAGGGAGATTCCTGCGAAGAGAAGGAAGTTTTTTGTTATTACATGGGGTCCCACGCCACAGCTAGCCTTGCATTTACAGTCTGACTGCCTCTAAACGGCCCTTTACTGTAAATTCCTACAGAGCGGTTAAAGACTGATGCAAGTTAATGCCAAATGCCAGGAAAACACAGAAGTTAATTAGACAGGAAATTTGGGACCATCTCTGGAGACTAGTGTAATTAGTACTGTTTGCTTTTAACATTGTGAAATGATGCTGAAAGTTACAACACAAGTCAGCTGTTGTCTTGGATTTTAACCCCCTCTCAACTTTTTTTTTTTCTGCAGCCCTTACTGTTGAAATACACTTGCCTTCTGCTTTAATCAAAACGGACACAGCCAGCTCTAAGCTCTCCCATTTCAGTTCCCCTCCTAGTCACAGCCCCCAAAACCAGCCTGTCTTAGGGGGTGGATGCACACTGTTCCTACCTCCCTTCTCTCCCATCAGAAGAGGTCACGCCATGATGCAACCTTTCCACTTCACAATTCACGGCTGTGGAAATGAGGCTAATGCAAAAAAGCAGAACCATCTGAACCTGCGGCATGGAACAGCAGGTAGAGAGCTCAAAGCAAAGATATAGCATTTTAAATTAGCTATTTATTAAGGAGAAAAATACCCATGAATGGCAAATGGGAATATTAATCTAACACTGCTAGAGTTCAGAATTATTTAATACCATGTAGACTGAAACTTGGAAATTCAACCTACTGAACAGACTGGACGGAAACCACCCACACGCTATCCACCTAGCCTGGAAAACGCACTGGTGAGTTTAGGTTTCTTAGTGCCTGCAGAATTTTTCCAGACTATATCTGTAAAGCCCTTTGCTTCGAAGTTGAGAACCAGCTCGCAGCTGCCCAAAAGCATGGGCCTGCCTAGATGTGTCTCTTGAAGGGAAGCGATGGGAGCGTTATCTCTTGGAGTATTTAACACCAGCACAGATAAAGGTCTCGGAGACATCCTGCAGGAGATGTGCCTTCCAAGATGAGGGCAGGCAAAAAGATCGCCCCAGACCTCTGCCGCTGCTTCCTATGACCCAGCAGGAAGACGGTACCTCCCTGCAATGGAAAACGCCCTGTCTCCTCTAGGAAATATCTAAGATACAAAGCTTGAGTAAAGGAAGAAACAGTGTGCGATTACAATGCTAAATCAATCACTTACTTTGTATCTAAATGGTGAAGGAAAAAAAAAAATAGAGCACAAGGCTTTCTGTATTAAAAAAGGGAAGCCAAAGCAGTTACAAGAATAGACACGGCCCCAGGACAGCGCTGGTCAGGGTGCAGCTTTCTGGAAGGGAACCTCACACAAGCAGCTCCAAACAGACAGCGAAGCACAAACGAAACAGCGTGGCTGGAAAAGCTGTCCCTACCTCCTGCCGGGGCTCACCGTGACCCCGAAAGCATTGCTGCTCTCCACCCAGACCAGGAGGCCACCCAAGCCTGCAAGCCAGGAGTGGGCAAGCAGAGGGACTGCCAGCAAGGGAGCAGGGGAAGCAGGACGGACACAGGAGCTCCACGGTGTGCAGAAGGGGCCGGTGCCAAGCGTGTCAGCCCTGGCGTGAACTCAGCATGCACCAGGCAGTCCCTTCCCGGTGTCCGGCCCTCTCCAGGTTACTTACTCCTTCAGAGCGAGGGAGTTCCCCGTTGCTCTGGCCAGAGGAATACAGATTGACGTATTCACCCTCACCAGCCTCCTCACTGGCGTTTTCACTCTAAGGGAGACAGGACGAAAGGAAATACATGATGCTGTCCCCTGCCAGCACTTAATGTTAGTGAGTGAACATGCCCACGGGCTGGGAGGAGAAGCGCTCTTGGCGGCTGCTGTCACCTAACTGGGAGCCCTTCCTCCGGCTCAGTGGCCAACACCGGCCACCGAGGCTGTACTTCCCCGGAGGTAATTATTTTCTGGTTCTTGAGGACTATCCCGAAGGCCCTGAGCTGCAGCAGGACAGCAGCAAGCACTGCTTTGCAAGAGCTGCCACGGACTCCATGTGAGACTGCGAAGGTGCAATATGCACGTGCGGATTTCAAGGTTATGGTAGCTGAGCGTTCAGAGCTTGACATACAAGTGCCTGACCTACCCGCGCTGTAGTCCTGCCGCCGAACACAGATCAGCCCTGCAGCCCAGAGGGTACAAAATGTGTCTCCCAAACTATGCTGCAAGCACAGACTAGAGCCATCACGCCCAACTAAACCAAATTCGAGGGCTTCTGGGCTGTAACAAGGACCTAACGCAAGGAAGATGCAACAGCAAGGTCAGGTCCAAAGTGTGAAAACTTGATAATTTACTCTGCAATCTGTGTCCTTCTTCCAAACTTTGTGAAGAGGCAGCACTACCGTGCACTGTGCTGACAGCTCTAATCCCATCAACTCTAGGCTTTGTAGCAAACAAAAGAGGAACTGCTTTGAAAACAAGGTGTTTAAAGAAGTAGCTGTAACGCACAAACCTGCCAAGTGATCTGCAGAACTGACGTGGAAACTTAAACTAGTCGTGCGGTATCAGCGTGGGAACTGTGTTAGTCTAACTTCACCAACACGCCACGCTTTGCACCAACGTGCGCTGCCTCCAAGCACGCAGGTAGGGCTGCTGGCAAGTGGAAAGAGCAGGAGCCTGGAGAGAGCAACAGGTTTATGCACAGGAGAGAGCGAGCTGGACTGCAGCCACCGCTGCTGGGGCTCACCAGTGGCTTAGGAGGGAGCAGGGCAGCAATCACCAAATCCTGCCATGGCAGCAACTGCAGGATGCGAACCACTGTTAGGAGTCCGTGTTTAGAAACCACCAGCCTCACAAAACACTCCTTTACCTTCCTCAGCTTTGTATTACAATTGCAGGAAGCTACAGCAACTTCTCCTCTCCCCTTCACCAGCATTTGACGTTTTATGTTTCCTACAGATGCGCTAACATTTTCTCAAACCTGCTGAGGTTGCTAATTTTTTCTAGGCACCATTTTTATATGAAATTACCTCTCTGCAATTCACACGCATGTTCAGAAACCAGATCACATTAAGCATGTATTAATACAAGAGACATTTTCTTTTAAAAAAAACCAAACAAATAAACCCAGCCTTGTGTTAAGGTGCATTATCTCTTTGGATAGTCTCACCGAAGGCGTCTGGAGAGAATCAGTGAAAGAGGTTTCAGAAGGAAGGCAGACAGGAGCATTCCCGTTAAAGCTGCTCTCCTGAGAAGAGGAGTTTGGCACATCCACAGTGCTGGGTGACCGGCTGGCTGCGGCAGGCACCGCTAGGTCAGAGCTCTGAGATGGATGGACGGACGGGAAAGGTGGGGTGGAGCAGGAGGAGGAGGTAGAAGAGAGGAAAGGAGGTATGGAGACTTGGTTGTGAGGCACAAAGTCCTGGGAGTAGGACCTAAACACAGATTTGTACTACAGGACACAGAGACGTACAACACAAAAACAAGGAAGATGGGGAAAGGAAAGAGACAGACAAAAGAAAAAGTAATTAGATCGGCAGTAGCGTAGCAGTGACAGCACAAGGCATTTCTAACACAGGCACCTCTCCGTCGAGAGGCCAACCCGAACCGAGGCAGCACCATTTTATCATCCACATGTTAGAGCAGGAATTGCCACTGGGACACGTCAGCCGGTTTTTTCACGGAGAGGCATGTTCTTGCACAAACAGCAGCCGGGCTGCTCATCTCAGAGGGAAAGCGGGCATCAGGGAGTTTACCTGCAGGTATCCAGCCTCCGCTACAGAGGGAGAAAGACTGGATATCTCAGTACTGTTAATGACAAAGTGCAGCCTGAAAATCCCTTGAGCGGATGAAAAGATGCGAAGGCATACAGAAACCACAACTGTGAGCAAGCTGGAAATATCTAGATAGAGAAAAGTACTCCAAGTGCTTATTGCTTTTCTGGGATTTTCCACAGGATCCAAATTTAAGATGCCGTTTGCTCCAGCCCTGTAATTTAACAGCTACTGTGTCAAGTCTGTTCCAGAGCACACAGCTCCCAGGGAGGAGTGGCTGGATACTGTCTTCAAAGTTACACTGAAGGATAAAGAAGATTACACTGCTACTCCTTCCCATTTGAGAAACACAGGGAGCAAAAATGGTAATTGCCCTCAGGAGCGATGAATTCCTTATCAAACCGATCCTTTAATGCAGCGCCTCGAAGAGTCAGCTGAAGAGATGAAAAGAGATCATCTGCGTAAAGCTTTATTTCACTATCTCTCCTAATCATCAGATTACTGTTCAGATAATATTAAACAGGGTACAGTGGGAATACGTTGTGCCAAGAAAAACAAGAGCAACCCTCTGTCTTTTAACATCTGGTGCTAGCAAGATTTGCCATCAGGGTAAGTCCAAAACAAAGCCGACACCCACCAAAAAAAAAAAAAAAAAAAAAAAAATGCTAAACCTGCTGGGGAGGAGTTTTTTTTAAAACCTGTAGAGCCCAGCCAACAACAAAATCTAAGATTTGCCAACGGGGAAAGCCCAAAAAAAACCCGACCCCCCCCAAAAAAAAAAAAAAAAAGACAATAATGCTAAACCTGCTGGAGAGGAGTTTATTTTAAAACCTGTAGAGCTCAGCCACTAGCAAGATCTGTGTCGTAGCCAAGTGGACTGAAGGAAGAATCACAAAAAAAACCCACGCTGAAATGACGCTGTGTCGCTCAAGTGATCTGCTGCAGAGGCATGGTGCACGACAGAGCTCTCAAGCAGCACAGACACAACTTGCTCAAACCAGGCTGAAAAGTGACACCGCTGTGATGTAAAAAGGAGAAGGGGAAACAAAGGCATGAATCGGAGAATTCAGGCTACATTTTCTCAGGGGAGCTGAGCGGGTGATAAAAAGCAAAGCTCAGTCTCACCTGAGCCGAGGCAGCAGCATCCTGTTCAGCAGTGGTATTTTTTTTTTTCTACCTAGGAAAGATGTGAGCTTAAAAATCTAAACTAAGAACAGCCTCGGGCCAGAAGCCTGACCAAAAAAGCTTTTCCACTACAAAGGAAAGGAAACGTAAAGGTCAATGGCTAGATTTTACCTTCCACCACCTTAATCCTTGAGTGGTTGCCCTCCTCCGTGTGTGGAGCCCGGCAGCGCTCTGGGTGTATTCTCGCAGCCCAAAACAAATTGCAGGCCACAATAGAGAGGAGCAGAGGGAGGTGCTTTAGAAGGAGAGCTTAAAAGACTACTGAAAAATAATTAAAATGCAAATCCCTACCACATGCCTGTGGCTAAAAGGCGACTAGCTCTAGGACAGGCTCCTCTCTCTTCCTGCCCGTTTCTTTCCGGATGAGCAGCCCTGGCTCCAGGGACACCGCCAGCTTTTGGTGCTGCCTCAGTAACAATGACAAATCTAATCTCTGTATTTACTTTCTGCCTGGATAAATGCTCTACATTTATTCATTTTCACTTGCATGGCACAAAACACTAAATCCCTCATAAGACGCCAGGCTCATGACATCATCTTGGCTCAGCAGATTCATTATGCCTGCCCCGTCTCCCTGGTATTTCATGATCTCACCGACAGTAATATGCCAACTATTGCCCCAAGTCCCAGGCTAGACCCCCCCCCAAAAAAAAAGAATAGGAGCAAAGCAGATGGAGAACGTGTACGCCCACCAACCACTGCTGGGTCAAGGTGGCACTCAGCAAACTGCTGTCCTGATAACAAGATCCGCTGCTCCAGTAAAGAAAATAATTTGCTCAAACAGAACCTGTGTGCCAGCTCCCCTAGAGCTGGGCTTCCTGCGCCCACATGAGACAGGCGGCATCCGCTGGCCTTCACTTTGTAATTGATGGACATCTTCCACCGAGGAGTCTCAAGGGGTTTTGTCTCTGACCTGCCGAACCCAGAGAAGAAGCCAGGTTTTTGCAAAGCAGCAGCGGAGCTCACGCAGGGCACGAGTGAAAGGGAATCGCTGTCCTCAATCATGTCACTCTGGGACAGGCAGCTCCCTGCGAAGCTCTCGCGCTGTGTGATGGTGCTGGCAGGGTTAGTTCGGGCCAAACGCCGGCCGGGAGGCTCAACAGCTGAGACGCTGCCTGGTGCACTGCCTGCAGGCTGAGCTAGCAGCTTGGGGAGATGAACTACTGCTTCTGGGGCAGGAAAATTTGCACAGCTTCTGCCTTGCATAGTTTCAGAGACATTAATTGCAATTCAAAGGCAATTTAGACCTAAATATAACGTAACATTTCATAAATTTTAAAAGTTTGAATGCAGATACATTACTACTGACAATCACTGTACATTCATCTCTCCTCGGCCTCATCAATACACCTTTCAAAACAGTATCTTGGCATGAGATGTGTTGAAAACACTGGTTTAAGGCCCAGGTACCCAGGAAAATGCATTAATCTTCATTATGTGATCCGCAAACAATCATTTAACGACGCAGACATGCTCTCAGCATGCTGTTAACAAAGGGAACAGTGCAGAGAAGCCTTTGGTGCACTGGCATTAATTAGCCAGGCTGCTCTCGACTTCCAATCCTGTTGTAAAGTTGCATCTTGTAGAAAGCAAGCCAGGGAGCCCCCTCCTTCCTCCAGAGTCTGCAAGCAGCTCTGGAATTCCAGCTATGCAATCATGCTGGGACAAGAGCCAAGAATGAAGCGTACTTTTAAAGGGGAAAAAAACCACCCTGGTGGAGACGATGTCCATATGGCACCCATACGGCTTCCACGGGATTTGGGTGTTGTACATCTCTTGGAAGCCCTGTCATCCTTTAAAAGACATACTTCTTTGGGGAGGGGACAGTCCATTCAACAGAACTGTCACAAGCAAACCAGTCATCCTCTAGCCCTCTCCCCGAGAAATCACAGGCAACAGTTTATCTTGGAAACAAATCAGTGCTTGTTTTAATCTGCTTCTTAGAGGTTTCTTGCAGGGTCAGTAAGGCCTCAGTTATGGCAGTACTGACACAACCTCCAACTCCACGGCTTTGCTTTAAGTGAAGTGCTTCAAAATAATCTCTGGGAAAGCTAGAAAGCAGGGTGCAACCGTATCCTTTGAGAAAGGATGCTTTCCTCTATCCAAACTCCGGCTGTGCTGCCAGGCTCCCACCACAGGACTAGAAGTTGGTCTCCCAGTACGAGTGATCCTGACCTACGATGGCAAATGGCCAGCACAAGGAGAAGAGAGAGAGATCCCTCTCGTCTCACCAGTAAAGTGAGTTTTAAAACAGCCTATCTGCCACTTGGGAAGTACTTCCACAAAGCACGCTTTGAGCTCAGAGCAATCTCGTCTCCTGGGAACAGCAGGAAGCTAACATGGCCGGACCTGAACGGTTACCACACACCGTGACACACACAGGTCTTTCAGAGATGGCATCTTTCAATGTTTTCAATTTGCTGCCTTTGATTTTTTGCAACGGTCAATATTTTAGAACAGCTTTCCATCATTAGCAGCAGTGTTACAGGATGTCCCAAAGGTCAATGACATTATGACCATTTATTTGGATTAGATGGCAGGAGATAAACGCTCTAATAGAAAACTTATTTCAGGAGTGATGCTCCTGTACATTGACTAGGCATGGCTGACCACAAGTAACAGGGAGACAGGGTGTTTATATGCAGGGAGTCACTGGTTGCGAGTAACAGCAGTCTCCATCCTAAATTCAAAATTGAATTCAATTATATGGCTGTCAGAGCATCTGCAGCATCAGCAGACACAGTCTTTACCTTTTAAGCACAGCCTTCTCAGTTACCCTACGGACTTCTTCTGCCAAATCAATCTGCAATCCTGCCAGACACTCCCAGATCAGATAGAGCATCAGATTTCCAAAACATGAAGCTATCAGAGGAAAGGATCAATCTTTTAGATCTCCTCTGCTAATGCTATTAAGAGAGCGACGTGGGCAACGTGCCAGAACTGGATGCCCAAATTCTAACAGTAGAGAACTACGTTCACAAAATACTGGGTGTTGTACAAAACTGCTACACCCTAAGAATATAATTGCATAGACAACTATTGGAAAAGACTTCCTATCTCATGACAGAACGCTGGGCTTCCAGGTACTTTTGCTAATGAGGAAGGAAATGCTCCTACAATGAATGGCTGGAAACACAAGCTGCCAACAGAATGGCTTCAAGCACTGCCACAGGAAAGGCAGCAGCTCCTCATGCTTGACTGTTTCTCAGCAAAGCCTCTGACCTGGCTGCACAGCTGACCTCCCTGTTTTTAAGCGACGGTTAGCATAGCAGATGGATGGATGGGGCTTGCTGTTCCCTTGGGAAAGGGTCTCCTGGCTTCTGCACGAGAAAACGCAAAATCCAAACTTCTCCTTAAGTGAGAGGGGTTCTTGTACATCTTTGCAACAAAACAAATAAGGGGGCAGGGGGGGAAGAAAACATGTTAGATTTATTAACCATGCTATCATGCATCCCTCTTTCAAACTATCAGAAGAATTCAACCTGATCCCACCTACAGCATCAACTCTTGTTTAGCCTGTAGACAATACCACCGTATCTAGCAAGCAGATCTTTAAAAGGCAGAGCCTGCAGACAACGACAAGGCTCCTAAAAAGTCAGTCACACAAAAAATGTGACCTATGAAGTCAATGGGGACTGTTTAGAGAGATCTGCACAGAGACAGGTAGTGCTCCAACTGCAACAAAAATGTATAAACCACCGGAGGAAGTGGTTCTCAGAAGCAGGATTCAGTGATGCCAGCATGCAACAGCACTATTAATACCACTATCCAGGCCTGCCGTGGGCAGTGGGAACGAAGACAAACGCAGAAGAAACGCTAAACAGGAAAGGCAAAACAATACCTAGGCCTCAGCAGCTGGTTAAATGGATGCAAATCTTTTTTTTCCCCCTTCCTTCTGCTCCAAACTAAGGAGCCAAACCCTGCTTAGGACAGAAACGAACTCACACACTATGATCTCCTAGTCCCAGTTTGATCGTGGCTCCCACCATCGGACCACCATATGAGTCAAAACAGCTCAGTCTCTGCTGAGGGCCAGAGCTACGGCGCGTGTTGCAGACTGGAAGTGAGCTACACGAACAGGAGCGAGGCGGGGAAAACATGCGAAGCACGTGTCTGCATTGGGCGCGTCTTTAAACACTTATCTGACCCTCCTTTTCCTGAACAGACGTTAGCACACGCACAAGAAAGAAAAACAGTTGCTGTGAATTTTCTGTGTGCTTGCTCAATTTGCTCAAGAATGGTGGGAACAAGTGAGAACATAAACGCTGAACTGGAGCTTTCATAAGGAAATTACTTGCGCCTTCTGCTGGAATCCAACACTCAATTTAGTTTCTGGAAAATTACTGGAAATGTTTCTTAATTAACAAGAAAACATAAGAAAAAACAGCATTTTGAGAAAGGCAAGTTAATTCTCCATAGTGGAGCACGCAGCCAAATTTCCACTAATGGCATGTACGTGCCCCGGGGAAACAACTGTGTTCCTTGTTTCAGCAAGGAAAAACTTCCTAGCTGTAACCAAATGCAAGACTTTCTGCAGCCAGTGGTGGAAGTGTGTGGATGGACAGCAGTAGCGCTTGTCACCGGACTGATTTCCTCTATCAGTGCAGAGCTCCCCAGCTGCCAGGGAGTAACGAGATTTCAAGATTTGATTCCTGCCGTTTGGCTACCTGCCCACCCATTTCCAGTCAAACAGCACAAGGAGTTAATGAACCAAAGGGCAGTCTTCACAAGAAGAAGGGAGGGAGGTGATCACCTAGAGAGAAACTACTGCCAACAATGACCAAGGAAGATGATTTCTTATCGCATCCCTCCTTTCCCACTGTTTAGAAACAGAAATTACTTTCAAAAGAGATGGGAATCCCTAAACTGACTCTTGACGGTACCATCCAGTTGTCCCCCCGATATGGGATTTAACAGCTTAGCTGTGCATGGGATGGGGAATATGATGCTGCAGCTCCTTAAAGTATCAGCTCACGCTACAAACACGACCCTTGCTGGCACAGAGGTTAGACGTGAATCGGACTCAGTTAAAAAACAGGCTCAACTTGCCAAACCCACGAGGTTTGATCCAGTTGCTCAAGATCTGCCTCTATCCAGTAAAAGCCATTACCTCTGACACAATTTCCTGCAAAGAAGGGAAAAGCGCGATTAGTGGGTTGACAGAGCGGCGGTGGCTTCTGGACTGCAGCAGTGTCTGCAGTGCCGATTGGAAAGAAAAAAATCTAGAAAAGAAATTCATACACTAAAAATGAAGAGTACAGATGCTCTGAACAACTTCACCTCTTTTTTGCTTCAAAACACTGCCTGAAAACAGTCTTAAGCCCTGTAAATCAGTTGTAAGGCACTAGTCCTTCACCTGGAGAACAGAGCGAATGGGCTAACATGCAAACATGGTGTAGGCTCGGCTTTCCTGCTGCCGGCACGTGAACAGATGGGTATGGGGTCAGGTCCTCCCTCTGGGATTGAATCCTGCTGTCCACCCCCGGACAGTCTCTAGGGAAGGAAAAAAGCACAGGGCACTTTCTGAAAATTGGCTACGCTTGGCAAACCTGGAGTGCATTGCTCACGTTGGGTCAATGGACAGCCATTCCGTTTATCAGCTCTGACTTCCTGGGATCGATCTAAGGAGGGTTTTGCTTCCTGTATGGAATGGATAACGATTAATGTAGGAGACCTATCATTTTAAGAGATTTGATAATCACCACTGATATATGGGTACACAGGAGGCCAACTCCTCAGTCGGCTGGTGTGCTCTCCCTAGCATTAACTCCCTTGCTGGGGCTGGTGGAAAGCTGTTGCTTATTTTTTAACAGGTTTATTGTTCACCGCGGTGCTCACTTGAGTGGCCTTTCTTTTGTGAAAGAGTTAAAAATGAAGACATGAGAACAAGAGGAGCAGAGCGATGTCCTTAAAGCGTTACTGGTGCAGCTCGTGGCATCCCTGGTGTGAAACCGCACGGTCCTTCCAGCCAGTGCTTGGGAGTAGATTGCAAGAGGGGCTCTGGTCCTTCTTAGTGCCGAAATGCAGGGTGTCACCCTGGGAATGAGCCAAACCTTGACAGCTGTTTCACATCTCTGTCTTATTAGGGAAAATGGGATAAACCATGGTTATGGTATTACGTGGGTCAGCTGTGATGCATGTAAGGACATTGGTATTTTGCAGCTCGGAGACAAAGAGACACTGTCATAGTGAAAAATCTCATTTTTGCCTGTGAAAAAATAGACCAGCTAGAGTCATGAGCAACTATGAGATTATCATAATTTAAAGGCATTAATGGAAAAATCACCATTTTTAATTCAGCTTATTTCCTTTGTGCATCTGACAGTGCACTGCCTAATTGTTCTCGTTGTTCCACATGCTCCAGCCATTTGTTTTCCCCTCACCAAATCCTTACAAAAACGAGTAAGGATTTTTTAATGCAGTTTTAACATTTCATAAAATAATACATTCACAATAATGTAGTCCAAAGCAAGATGAGAACAGGTCAGAACAATTTAAGGTAGTAACCATTTAATCCAACCAGGACACTTTTTTAAAGTGCCACATATTTTTAGAACATTATAGTATCATATTTATAGCCTCTCAATTAAAACAAAAATAGTCAAGTGCTTTTACCTAGTCTTACAGTTCTGTGTTTTGCTTCCAAAGATCACTATCAAACAAGAGAGCTGTACAATTCAGAACTTCTGCATTACTTCAAATTTTAGAACTGTTTACCACAAATTCGTGCAAGCCCTAACCTTTCCGCACCTCAGCCTTTTCATCTGTGCAGCAAAACTATGATACTGCTCTCTCTCACGCAAGTAGAAGCCAAAAGCTTTAATTCATTGCTTGTGAAGTAGCACTACTTGTAAAGTACTTGAATACTTTCTTCTTCTTTGGACCAACGATTACCGCTAATTTTTAGAGAATGAGTAAGTGTTGAAATGGGAAGATAGCAGTAGCACAGTGGGAGGATACAATTTTCAAACATTTAATATTAAACTAATTGAACACTTCTGAATTTTCTCAAGTCTTGCCTGATAATTTCTCCTCCAGAAGAAGTCTAATTTACTAAACATCCAGGTCACTGTTAAAAAATAGTCTATTCTCAGTTGTCATCACACGGCAATCAGAGCATAACCACATAGTTTTACATGCAAACGAGCCCCATACTGATGAGCTGGTGGAATCCCACGGTTAGATTTAATTTCATTATATTAACACTTTGTTATTACTACCATTTAATTTAAGCAGCTGATCACAGATTTAAGCAGTGCTCTAAGATTATTCTTATTTTGATTTAAATCATTCTCAGCTCCTCCTGCCGTTCTCTCAGGCTGCTCACAAGTGCTGTAGGAAAGAAAACCCTGCTCATTCGTCAGCAAATCATACAAGCTTACTGAGCTTCTCTGGGACCATGGAGACGTGAAGGGAAGCAGACAGGCAAATATGAGATGAAAGATCTGGTAGAGGCCATTTTCTAGAAAAAAAATTAAGGAGCTGCAGCCACTGTTCCACTCGTTTGACTAAATCCATGTATTTCGAGGACGGCATCTTGTTATTTCTCCAAAGGCCAGGCTCACACAGCAGCCTTTAATCGACTCATCCACATCGCTGACATTATGCAACGGAACAAAAAGACTTTGCAGCTCCAGCATACAGCCTGGGGAACGTGTAGGTTAAAGGAGTGTGCCCGGGCACACAGGCCAGCTCTCCTTCGTCAGTCCCTCACCACAAATGTCAATACCGACGTGTATATAAAGTAATGAAAGCCACATCTCCCCTGTGCTCCATTTAGTAGGATTTACACACAGGTTTTCTCGCCTGGCGGATTACTACATGAGTCCAAAAGCCCCCAAAAGACCCTTCACCTTTACCTGCAACTGAGAGCATAAGTGCAGAATTTGCACGCAAGCGTTAAACCGAGACAAATACGTATGCACGCATGTTAAAGTGCGGAGAGCAACTCACCGAATGCACAGGAAAGGAGCTGTGCCGGTTGAGAAAGGAGTTAGAGACTGACATAGTGAGGCCCTGAGTGGCACCGGTGTCCTCGGGGGTGAAGGGCACTTTAGTTTGCTGGACACAGTAGGAGACAGAAGAGAAAGAAGAGGCAGCATAGGAGGCCTGCTGAAGAGGGGGGAGAAAGCAAGAGACAGAAGACACAAAGAAAGAGAGCACAGAAAAGGCTATGAATAAAGGATACGAAATGCTATCTGTAAAACAATGCATATAATGGCTTGCTAAACAAACAGCTATTCATACAGTTCATCAGAGCCAGACACACCAATATGCCTTTCTTGAGCTCAAGAGGCATGACAAAAATCACAGTTCAAATCTTCTTTGTTTCACAAATCCCTCAAAAATAAACTCCCGCGTCCCCCTTCCAGTTCACCCATGGACAGCTGCTGTGGGGAGAGGCAAACTGTTCCTTGTTGCCCTTTTTTCCCCATGGCACGGGGGGCAGATGCCCAAAGGAGGAACTGGCTCTCGCTTCCAGCTGTTAAGCCGTCAACTCTTGCAGGTTACTATTTTTCTGTGGCAACCTGCAGACTGGGAACTTGGTCTTCCAGTGTGATCTATGGGCCCTCACTGGTACTGCTGAGATACTGGATAACAGTGATGTCCAGCCATTTTTCAGTCCAATCCAAAATGATATATCATTTGCATGAGAGGGAGATATTACACTGTAAGTAACAAATACTATTAAGGAATTTCTCCTGAATTCCACTATAGTAAAGAGTGTGAGGGAAGCTGAGGTATATCTAGGTTTTCTCAGCTCTGACTTCTTGAATATAATGTACAACTGTTTTATAAATAAGATCCAAAGCTCACAAGAAAGGACTTCCTAATTATTATTTTATAGAGGAGTCCATCCAGCAAAACGTGCCTACTGCTAGAGCGGCCGATGCCCACGTGATTTGCTGTTTCAGAAACTCTCACGGCATCAGGAGCAGAGGAACAAGAGTCTGGTGGCTTTTACAATGATTGCTGAATAAGCCATCGTCTGCTTGCACCACTTTCCCAACAGAGGGATGAAGGTAAGGGTGGGAGGCTGCACTTGAAGAAACCTTTGCTTCAGGGGAACTGCAAGCAACACCTTGATGGTATCAGCTTGCAAGACTACAAGGATGCCTAGCAGGCAAACCAGTGACAACGTGGCTGCCCAGACAATGATTAAAGGGCAGCAAAGAAATGCTTTGCTTCAGCTGACAAATTCAGAAGAGGAGCAGAATTTCCCGTCTGCACAATGGCTACAGTAAATCTGTGCTTTACACACCCTCTCTCGTGACCATGTAGACCAAGTCACCACTGGAAACTATCACTAGAGTGTAGCCACCTCTAGGAGGAGGAGGTAGGGCAAGGGACTACAAGGTACAAGTGACAGCGCAAGGATCACACTGACAAGGGGACCACGGACTCTGGAGAACTGCCTGATCCTTCAGAGAGGAGTCCTGTAGACTCTTCAGTGCCCCTGCAAAGCAGATGGGACACGGGCATTTAAGGTCTCATCCCCACAAAGCAATAATGCATAATACTCAGTTTAGCGTAGCTGGAAATGTTACTTTATCTTTTTAGGACTCCTACCTGCATCACAGGAATGTAGTTATGCAAATCCCAAAATTAGAGTTCTTGGTTGCTTTTCGCATTTGATTAAAAAGTAACACCCTGGGACAGTCAAACTTTAGCATAGATAACATGAAGAAATACTGCAACAGTCACTCTCACGATGGTAAGACCATGGCTCTGTTCCCACATTTGCTCCTGTTTCGTTAAAGCTATGGCGAATTTGTTCGCTACATCAGCACAAAAGATACTTGCTTTTTTTTTTTTTTTTAAAAAAAGCAAAATCAAAAATTAATATAAACAAAACCCCTAAGGCTGGAGTTAAAAAAAAAAAAAGAGAAAAGAAACGAAGACCCTTAAAAAGAAATAGGACAAAATCCCAGCTCCACTGAGGTTGGAAACAAAACTGCTGCCACCATCACTGAGGCCAGGCTTTCATCCCCCACGTGGAAAATGGCGCTCGTTGGACTGTTAAACCCACCACCCAACACACATACACATGTGGATGTGCCTTTTTGTGCTGGGAGTCTGGGAGGGCCAGCAGAATACTGAAAAACAGGTAAAATCCTGATCACGCAAGGGGACTAATGTGGAGAAAACATGCACAAGTTCAATAATGGCTATACCAAAGCTCTGTGGCTCTGGCAAAGACTGAGCCATAAAAGCAGTTATTATGTTTAAACGGTTATTATTAGTGGCATCCTTGACAACAGTTTCAAAACAGCATTGGGAACAACAGTGCAGCAATCTCTTGAAAATCGTCTTGCCCAGCATGTCAAAATCTTGTCGTTACACAAGCCTGTAGTCTGGCATAGATTCAGCCATGCCATGCGGAAGACTAACGTTTCATTTTTAGGCATTTTAGGACTTCGGAGTTTATGGAGAACAGCCTGAACATGGGGTTAGAAAGCAGATCAAAGTAGATGATGCAAAATGCCGAAAAACACGTTAACAAGATGACAAGGAACACGATGCGGTAACACCACCGAGACATCCTCCCACCACCATAGCCTGTCAGAAACAGGAGCAGCAAGAACAGAGCTGCTCCCGGGAGGCTGGCGTGCCCCGCCGGGCAGGGCACTGCGGAGGTCACTCACCAGCTGCCGCTGTTTCGGTGGGAGAGCAGGAGGAGGTGCCAGATCTTGAGAGGGGTCTAAGCTGATAAAGGAGTCATTGAACCCATAGACTTCCATGAGGTGCTTGTTCTTCTGCTGGTAGATGTGCTCGTTCTGAGGGGTCTGGTAGAACATGGACGGCTGTGGCTCTGAGTAGTCTTCCACAAACTGCATATAGGCCATCACTGCAAAAAAAGGTCACATCACTGCTCCTGGTCCGCACGCTGCAGCTGCAACAAGCAGGCATTCTCAAAATGCTGTAAGAGTAAGGCCATGCCACTCTTAGTCGGGCTCTGCTGCAGGCGGGGAGCAGCAAGGCATCCGTGCCCTCTTCACAGGTAGCTCACACAGTCAGCTGCCATCCACCTTGCAGGAAAGGATCTGAATATCCCATCCTGCAAGCCAGCACGCAACAAACATAATCACAGGCCACGAACACATCTGACAACAGTTTCAGGAACCAGTGAGGTCTCCAAACAGCTACTTGAGAAGTCTGATTCACTGACTCTTAGCCCGAATCCCTTTCTCATGTAACCCATGGCAATTTTGAGAACGTTCCTCAACAGCTAATGCCTAAAGTCACCAAAAAAACCAGAATAACTTCAGTCTGCTTTCTAGGAGGCACAAATCATCTTGTACAAAGATGCAACCTTGACAATAAATCTATATAATTCTTGTACCTATAATAAGGCTCATGTGTAGTCAGCAAGCTTTCTAGAACGAGGAGGCTTACAGCCTTTCTCCATTCTAGCAAGCTGATAAAACTGTTATTGGAAAACACCTACCTGCGAGACTGGGTGTACCCCTCCCTCAGCTATTTATATGCCGCTGCCAACGCTGGCACAAGAGACTTACCTTTTAAAAGCACCACTGATCATGCCTTCCTACCTCCTTAGCTCAAATCCAACAGCCTTCGCTCGCATCCCTTTTTAAAGTATCTCATCATCTCCAATTCTCGAATCCAATTGATTCAAAAGCTTTTCTGAGATGTGGTTCGATGGAAATATTAAATGGGATCAAATCTCATTTAGAGGACCTTTCCATCTGTACAATATCCTTCCAAAATCTATGAAAAAAACCCACACAGGTCTGCCTACGCAGTTCTGACAAAGGATTAGTTACTGCTGCAATATTTTAGTGTTGCAGAGGGAGAATGACACCCAGTGTCACAGGAAGACTACAAACCCCCAGAGTTATTAAGGATCAGAAGTGCACTTAATAAACGTAAAATAAATGAAGAACTCTCTTCTATATACCTGAGAACAGGAGCAACAGATGTACGTAAGTGTCATAAAAAGGACTAACATAGGCCTTTTTGTAAATATGCTGTCATGCACAAGATACTCTGTGATCATTCCTCCCTTTTTCCTGAGAAACAAGCAGTTGTCAGTTTTTGTAAATCTGGTCATTAGGTGACAATTGTTCAGCTTCTGCTGGCATTTCAGCTGTACAGCTGAAATGAATGGATGACTTCAATGAAAGCTATAAATACGACGACCACAACGCAGTATTTGCACATCGTGAAGCTGGTTCCCACACTAGCTGCACGGCAAAGCCCTCTGTTCACCTGCCAATGCAGATCTACGGGCCAGCCTATTTCAAACAGGATGCAGCCGTGCAAACGTGTCGGCAGGAAGGAGTCGCTTTGCACCTGTCTTTTGCACCTTTTTTCAGATTTCCTCTAATATTTTAAACTGCATTTAGAAATGGAGCTAACACAGCTGCCCCTTCCCACAGAATGATATCCCTCCTCCAAAAAATAGAATCAGCTGATGGATTTCAATCCCGACCGGTAACACCTGCTGTCCCCATCCTGTGACCCCACACGGTGCTGCCAGTGGACAACCTGTTCGTGTCCCGCAGCACTGCCAGCTCCTGCACAGCTCTGCCAAGCTGAAAATCTGACCTCCAATACCCCCTGCTACCCGAGCTTCGCTCCTCTTCCTCCCTCAGCCGCCCTCCTGCCTTCCCAGCACCACTTCACAGATGGAAGTCACCACCCTTGCTGGTTCGGACCTCTCCTTTTTGAAGGGAGCGTGACAGAGGTTTCAAACTGCCTGCACAGGCGTGTTGGTGTGTGTTTGTGCCCCCTCACCTGCCAGTGTCAGCACTCATGTTAAAGCCAAGATCAAATTTGCTCATGCACGTGAATTCCAGCCTAAGTCCTAACAGTGAAAAGAAGCACATTCTGGTAGTATTCTCTTATTTGAATTCATGGTGAAGGAGTCTTGGTGTAGAAAATACAGAATTGCAAAAATACTGTTTCCAAATACCAGTGATTTGGTTGAGTAAGGTACTCCTGTTAATACCCATGCCCTGAAAAATGCCTTGGTATCATACAACAACTTTAGGGGATAAGATCTAAAGAAGGCTTATGAAAGATATTTCTCTAGCAGCAAAAGTGAACTAAGGATCAAGACTCCTTGGAGAAGTGTAGAGGACAAGAGCTTGAGGGAAAAGACCACATTTTGAGTGCTCATCAACTGAGTAGGACAAAAGCCAAGAAGTCAGGCTTGGCAGTCTTGGTATCATGCAGCTGACATTGCTGAATTCAGACCAGCCCTTCATGTGGAGTCACCTACAAAACCAGTGCTTCACTGAACGTCCAGATCTTAAGACAACACTCAGGATCGATAGCCGTGAGTTCCCGGGTTCAGACGTCTGTATGACACTACAACCCGGGAAGTGTTGGCAAAAACAGTATCACATTAGACACTTGCGTAAAATCAAATTACTGTAACTCAAGGTAGTAAGCCTGAATGCTGTTGAGAGCCTTAACTCAATCTGCCAGGGAATAATGAAGAGCTCTTTTATCTCAGCTCTTTATGAGGCTAATGCATCCCATCGCCATGGCAGCTCCCCTGCCTTGCTTGTTACAACTAGTCCGGGGCGGGTGAGCATGCCTCTGCTTCTACTTTGTCTTCTCTGTTTTTACATGAAGCGAAAAACAGTTGGGATGGTGAAATACAAACCTGGCTCGGGAGTAGAGACTGCACAGTGCAAATTAAAATGCGCGTCAATAAAATGCTGCCAATCTGGAACAGGAGAGTAAGGGAGCAGGACCACTCCTGAGCCTGCTGTTTGCAAAGGGTCTTCTCTCCCCCCTCTCCCTCCATCCCTTCCCCTCTCTGCCGTGGTATTTAACAAGGCAGAAATTTAAAAAGCAGATGGGAAATTACATCACCAGCTCAGATCAGGCTGCACGCCCCGCAGCGACTCTGTGCAGAGGGAGGGATGGGGGCTGCAACCTCCACGGCGAGCAGCCGGGGTGGAGTGACACAGTCTGAAGGCAGCACCCCCGGGAGAGAAGGGAGGCGTGAGAGAGAAACCTCTCCCATCGCAGTTCCATGCCAAGCTTACATCAGTTCTGAACCTAGACAGAAAATATTTGAAATTAAAAAAAATAACACCTCTGAGGCTAGGAACACCTTCCCAGCAATCCGCTTGCAGTGCCTTGGCTGCCATTTCTGAAGGAGCTAAAGCTGCTCAGGGATTTCTATCACACGTGGCAGAAGTCACAGGTATTGCTCGAGTGCACCAGCAGCACCTGAGCCAGCTCGCCATGCAGCTGCTGGTCCTGGAAGCTGTAAGGAATTGCTAGAAGATTATCAGCAATAAGGCACATCTGCAGTATAGGTAAGGTATAGGAGTACCTGATGAGGAGGACTCACTGAAGGTCTAGCCTGACCCTCGGCACCATGTCAGCAGCCTGTGTTACAACTGGCCCTGAACAAGCGCAACAGATTTGTGTGCATGGGCAAGAGCCAAAATAATGGAAATTCTTAAGCTATACCGCACATCGACTCACTGGAGAAGTCAAGGTCAAATAAGCCCGTCTTTGCTGTCACCTCTGGGAGGAGAGCTGTTTTTCAAAGGGCTCGCATTATCCGCTGGCTAAGCCCAGGCTGCCCTCAGCATGGTTCCTGCAGTTAAATACCAGCTGCTTACAGGGCACCAGGCTGCATTTTGTTCCCACTGACAGGGAGGGAAACATGAATAAGTGCCTGGCTTCTAGTCTGCAAGCTGTTTGCAGGGAGGAACTTGTTATTTCTGACTCTGGGCTCTTCATGGCAGAAGCTGCTCCGTGCCCGCGTCCTGTACAGCAGGAGCAGGGTGCTGGTGCTCAAGCAGAAGTCTGGAGTAATTTGCCCTTAGCACAGTAACATGCACTCTTACAGCACAGTAAAATAACAATAATTCATGCCAGACTAAAAAGCTTATCACTCCTCTGTTTAAATTATACAGAAGTCAACTCTTAGAGGTCCCTCTGAGCACAGCTCCCAGCAATACACATGGTTAACCCTACCAGGATTTGCTGTATATTATCAATAAAAAGACCATTAAAGTCTCTGCTGCAACATTTCCTGCCAACTACCAAAACATGACCAACAACAAAGGGACTACAACCAAGTCCCATCTGTGCGAGCTCTAGATCTTTTTAATAAATGCATGCATCTCCTCCGGATCCCAGGAGTTTGTTGGGGTTGCGGAAGCAGCACTGCCTCACCTATGTGATTACACAAGAATATCTACATGCATCAGCCAGCCTCCAGGCAAAAAAATCCTGGGTGCTACCATACAGCCTGAGTAATGTTTTACTGCCCTTTTAATGTTGAAAATAAAAGTAAAACTAACAACCACAGATCTGTGGTATGATATACTGTGGAGTAAAGACAATCTAAAACAAGTTCTCAGTGACACATAAATGCAATTAAAAACTCTGCAGCAGTCAGGTAACAGCCCAAATACTACTACAAGCTTTGCAGGGTGCTTTATCAAACCATCAGAGCTGACAACACATTAGATAAGAGCTTCTACCTTTCCTAACAATGCAATCTGATCAATACTATGAGAGCTTCTGATAGTGCCAGATGACCAATGACAATTAACTCTATTCTAACATCAAAGAAAATTCACAAACAAGGCCTTGGTATCGAGGTTAAAAGGGTGCACAGGCAATAATGGAGAAGATAGCTTTTAAAATTTTTTTAAAGTAACTCCTTGACATCTCATATGATAAGAGAAAACAAAGGTCTCTCTTTCAACTGTCAAATTGCCTCTTACCCAAGGTTCACGCAGGCGTCTCTCCCTGCTAAAGCTGCCTACGTGTACAGAGGTGCATTTCCCTGCATCCATCCCAGTCTGCGTGGTGTAAAACCACCTGGACCCAGCCCTTGTTATTAACATGCAGAGCCCACAAGGACCTGATCCTACAGCAAGGAGCCGCTGTACCACATCCCCTTGCAGATGGTACTGCTGGCGAGTATTTTGAACAGCACGAACCAGAACAAACAACCCTGGCTATGCCCTGTGCCAGCATTTGTTTCCTTTCTGGTTTCTACAAACATCTCGGCTCCTTTTTAGCTGCTTTCAGTATCTTTTAACTGCTTGCTTACCAGAGAGAGATAAAAGTCATTTCCTACTTATGGGGACACTGACCCTCACTTTCAGGTGGGTCAAGCCTTGTGGTTCGATTAAAATCCCAGAGGGTTACAAATGTGGACTCGTCACTTAGGGATAATGGAAATGCTTTTAGCCAACACACTTTTAAAAAAAAAAAAAAGTGACTGGCACAGTAAGCTACCATAGAAATGGACAGAATACTGACCCTGCCGCACGACACACCAGTCTCGCTTCCCCCTCATTCTCAGTGACAAGACTATGAACTGCAGAAATGAGTCAGAAGGCCAACTCGGCACTTTCGAACCAGCTCTTCACTTGGGCTGCCAGCCATACAACGTAACGTTGTTGATCCAGATCTTGTATACGCTACCTCCTCATGCAACGTACAACTGCAAAGCAAGCCAGTGACTAGTAAACTAACATCTGCTGGATCTCACTATGTAGTCCGCAGCCTTCCTTGGCAGGTCAGTATGGCTGCTTTTTTGGCAAGAGGTTTCACATGTTTTCAGCCATGAACATTAAGAATATCAGAATAAGGTCGTGAGCTTGAGTCGCAGTCAGTACTGGTGTGCCAGGAGTCTGGCTAGGGATGGCGAGCCTTCACATTTAGAGGCTGCTCATATTAACGATGTGGGAAGTTCTTAGGCATCCAAAGGAAATGAGATCCCCTAGCAAAACAGCCGTACTGGACACTAGGTTAATAGTGTTGTCTTGCACAGCCATGTGGGTGACTATGTTCCTATTGCCAAATAACTGCTCTGGCAATGCTCGCTTTTGGACAGAAAAGCAGCCCTTTCTCTGAGCTCTTGGAGAGTACCCAATTCTTTTCTGCAGTGGGAAAACATTTATAAAATGGGGGCAGGGGGGAAGGAATGGACACAAAAAGGGAGGATAAACCAGGAAGATCTGCAAGGCAGAGTGCCTCAAAGACTCATGCTCAGGTAAACAGAGAAGTAAAATAGTCTCACTACAGTAATGAAGATGCTGCGTGATGCCAGCTTCCCTGGGCCTGGATCGGTCCTGGCTCCAAGAGTCACTCCCTGCCCGCCGAAGGACTGACAATTCCCTTCCATGCCTTGACACTCACTAACTGATTTTGACACTCAGCCTCACGTAAGCAAGGGCATTACCCTGGGGTTACCATTACTTAGTGGTCATCAGATGTACAAGAACTGCAAGGAAAGGGAAAGGTGAAAGTAAAACCCAAACACAACAACTTGCTTACTGTGTTTGTTTTTCTTCTCTGGCAGAGGTGGTGGCTTTTCTGGGTCACTGTTAGAATCTGGAGCAGCAAAGTCAGCAATGAATTCAACTGGTGCTGAAGAGTTTCCTTGCTGGAAAGGCAAAACAGCAGCAAATGGTGTGAAGGGGACTGATGGGACAGACGCTGCATTCTGCATGTCATCCTCCGAGATGTTATCGTATTGGGAAGGGTGCCTCTCATAGGACACCCTGCAGCCTGAGTTATCTGAAGTCTGAGAGGCTGCGCTCCTCCTCTTCTTTTCTGGTAAAGCTGGAGGAGTCTCTGTTGGCTGTGCTGCTCCCGAGAGGCTGCAGAATTCCAGTGGAGGAGAGCTGCCCTGCAGGAGCTGGAAAGCATGTCCATGGAAAGGGGAGCCAGACTCACCCAAGGACTCTGGCAATGGGCTGAGGATACCTGGCACCTGCTGAGGTTGATCAGCATTGGAGAGGTCCTGCTGCAGGAATTCATAGTCCGGATCATAGTGATCTGATTGATCTGGTTAAACAGAGAACACAGGAGAGTCATACATTAGTTTCTCTCTTTCACTGTTCAGCCCTTCTCAGTTCTGCCCCTCCCATTCCATCAGTTAATTAATCAGTTCATTTAATCAGAGTGGTACTTCCTTGCAGCAGGGACCGTCTTGCTATACCTTCTGTAAAGTCCAGCCTTAATAAAACTCTTATTATCTTTTTACACTAGCAAACAAACAACAAAAATTCAATAGGTAGACCATTGCAGAGATTATTTATATTTCTGTTTTATTTTCTTTCCTAGTACGTAGAAACAACATCGCTTTAGTCTACCAGGACTGTCATTTCTTACTGATGTCTGCAGACAAGGCTGAAATCAACAAAACATTCCACTTGAGAGCTGAATTGAGTTTGAACACAGAATCATCTATAGCTAGGGAAACATGTTCCCCTGGGCTTTTTCCTATCCGACAGAATGTAATTCTGCATAGAACCGCCTGCAGCAACTACAAGATGACAGTTGCAAGCACAGTCCATTTACTTCTGCATCACAGCTACGACAGCTCCCAAACGAGAGTGATGGGGGCTCCTCCAGCGGCCCTGGACAACCCCCCGCTTACCTAACGTTTCACAGCTTGTGTTGCGGGAGCACTGACCACTGTCGCGGTCCAGAGAAGAGAGCTGCTCGTCAGACTTGCTGAGTTTGCCGATGCTACTGCACGGCGAGAGGCGAGGAGATTCCCCCCCATAGGAGTGGCTTCCACCCGACAACCTTCTCTGGGCATAGCAGTCAACATCAAAATCCTTAAGCAAAAAAACCAAATCACCGTCATTCTTGGCAGCTTGCTAGCAAGCTAGATGCAGCTCGAGGAGCAAACACCTCACAGCTGCATTAAGAAAACCAGGAGGGGAGAGGATGGGTGCTGCTAGCTCTCTCTAGTTAGACAAGCTGGTCAGGACCACAGAAAACCTCTGAGTTGGTAAAGAGCCCATGCCAGGGAGCTCTGTGTGTTCTTGCTTCCAGGCAGGGCATGCTGTGACCCACACTGGACTTCCCAGATGCTGAGAAGATGACCGTGTTCCTCACCACTACACAGGTCTGATGACTGCTTGTCAAGACACCAATACTAGGTAACCAGACTGCAAGATTTCTCATTAAATAACTGGGGCTTTAGCAAATACTTGGTTAGCTCAGGTGCATGCAAAGGGAAAATAACCTATAGTGAGATACAACTTTCTGTGCTTATGACTACACGTCTATTTCGGAGATTACCTCAAGCTTATCAGCCTGCAAGTGAACCCCTCAAGTATTCCCACTCCTGCGAAACAACCTAAGTGTGATTGTACTAGTAACTGAAGAACTGCCACAGCTTTATCTGGGTCAGCCAAACAACTGCAGAGGCTCCCTAAGCCAGAGCTGAGGCTTTGGGGATGAGGACAAGATTTGATTTTGGTGCAATTTAATATGGTTCAGGCCCTCACTGCTGAGTTAGTAAGTTCCTGAATGTGTAAAGCAAACCCAGCCATTTACAACCTCATAAACCCCAGACTAGCACCAGCAATGGAATATGACTAACACACACATAGTCCCAAGTTTTCCAGTTTTCTACCAGAAAATTTACAAATTTCCCCAAAGCACCAGTGGTCAGAGCAGTTGCTCAAACTACCACTTGGGTTAAAAGATGTTTTAAATTGTGACTGGATGAAGACAGACTTCTGATCTCAATATGCCACATGCTCCCTTGGCCTGTTAAGTAAACCTTGGCGAGATCTCAGTAAGCTCAGCCAGCCGCTTTGTACCCTGATCTGTTCAACATGGCAACACTCAGCCGCTCACATCTTCACACTCTGGTACAGCTCAAGGCAACAAAGTTTGTAGCAATTTGTTAATTAAACCCAACAGCACTGTAAAAAAAAATTAAGCTGTTCACATTATTTATTATACTGATGTTCCTGCCACTAAAACTCCCGCTCCAGAGCTCTCCCATACAGGGACAAGCAGAGGCGTGCAGGGAACTGCGTGGCTGCACATCACAGCATCTCTCTGAGCTTTTGCTGCAGTTCACAGCACGTTTCCCTTGGCTTTCATAAAGGGGTTATGCCATTACCTGTCTGTTGATTCCAACAGGTAAACTGGACCCACTGGTGGCTCGACTCATGGGGGCCACAACTGCCACTCTGGTTGGGGAAGGTGCCGACTGCCGTTTTTTAGGGGGCAATGCTGGTGGAGGGCTGCAAGACACAACAGGCGTTGATGCTTCCATTACTCATCTAGCAAAAAGACTTCTAGAGGCTTCACAAGCTTGTTTTCCAGAAAGCCTTTGACTTGCCAGGCTCAAAGCTCACAGGTTCTTCTTCAAAGCTGGCCATGAGCTATTCAGCAAAGTGTATCCACTAACAAATACCAATTCAGGAATACTCTCACACGTAAGGTCCTGTTCAGTGATTTATTTTTTAATGTTGGAAAAGAGTTGGTATTTCTCAAACAAAAACAATTGCTGTTTTAAAAATTATTTCTAATGGAGCTAATTAGCATGGTAATTATTTCTTAATAAAAGTGGTGAAAATCCAAATTAAATGTTTTGGTTGACCCAAGTATTGTTTCCATTCACAGAAGTCCCTCCTCCTCAAACCTTCCAGGTTTGAAATATGTTCAAAGTTTCAAAAATTTACAGGACAGGAAAATTCTTTTTCTGCCCTTTTACTCTCCCGGTGAGCTTCAGGGAACAAGACGGTCAGTGTGGCTCTCACCATATGACGGCCCATGTTTTGGCATGAATCTGTTTCAGGTACACACATCAGCAGTAACTAGTAAGATTTTAACCACTGTACTTTTAGGTTTTGCTTCTAATGACTCATAGTTCTGGTAATCGTGAAGCCTGCGAGGTTCCCAAGAGCACACATATTCTGTTCCTGGAACATACTAGGAAATTCTTATATAACCCGTGAGAATTCATAAAATACATAGAAATGTGATTTTTTTTTGCCAGCCACAGCCCTTGATGCCACATTTTCAAATTAGCACAACATGTATTTTTCACACCATGCATTAACACCAGTACCAGGGAAGAAAAACATCATACACACAGACCAAAAACCTGTAAATTGGGGGTTTTCTCTTCCTTCTCAAAATAGAACACAGAAACTTTCATGTGGTTACTCGTAGCACAGGGTAAGAACAACCAAGTAAAAGATTTTTTTCACGCACTGTTGGCTCCTTTCACTCTTAAGCAATGCAGAACAACCTGGATGTGCAGGACAGATTGATAATTGCCAGCTAAGGTTAACAGAACATTTCCCATTGGATACAACAGCACCAGACACCTTTGTACAGTGCGGTATTCACATCGTTTTAAATAAGGTTCTTATGCATTTATGTGATGCCTCTCAGGCATGGATCTGAGGGCATGGCACTATCTTCACATAAAAAGAAGGAAAGGGTAATGAAGGGTATTGCTCAAAACAAGACAGAGAGGACACAAAGTCATAAACAGAGTCCAGGAGCAGGGAATAATTACTCTGAAGGACTGGAAATTCAGAGGCATCACTAACCCTGCTCACGACCTCTCTTGTGCACATTTTGCAAAATTGTTTAAAAACCGAGAAGCTGGTAAGAGCCACTGGTATTCCTCAGTTAGCTGGTTGGGCAGTATTACCTGTTTTCTGCCACACGAATGCTAGGCAGAGGGGGTTTAGGAGGTGCAACTTCTTCATCCATGGAGTCAGTCAGTAGCTCGTTGGATTGAGTCATATTAGTTGTTTTGTTGAGAATCTCCATTTCTCGGTCTGTAAGGGGAAGTTCTGATGGGCTGCAACAAGCAAAATACAGATTGCAGATCATAAACCACAGTTGGAATGCAGCATGCTGACAGTTAACTACATATTTTAAATCATATGCAATATGAGAGGTACCTACAGGAGAAGGCAGAATTTGCATCTGCAGGTGGAATTTCATGTATATGCAGAATACAATGTGCACGTGTCACGGCCAAGCCGTGTTTCATTGCCAGATTTTGGTATCTTCCCTATCAGAGCATATTGTTCTCTTTAAGTGGTCCCACTGTAACAGATGAGGCTACATAAAGAACACTACGCTACCCTCTGTGAAGAATAACTGAAGGCTTTAATTCAACTATCAGTAGCCAGAAATTACCCCTTCTATATTTGTCCTGCACACAGAAGAAATCCTTATCAGTGACCCACCTGTCAGAGTTACATGCTGGTAAACTGGGTTTAACTGGGCTTGTGGGAGAGGGATGCTCCTGCTTCTCAATCGTGAGTCTGACCAGCTCCTGATGGATGGAGAGGAGAGAAGGAAAAGAGAATAATCATTTTTCGCTGAATGCTGCACTCAAACACCCTAGAACAGAATGGGATGCTACTGCAGTAAACGCTTGGTTACCCAGGTTATGGATTAACGATGGCGTGGACACAGAGAGAGCTGAGCTGGGTCTAAGTCTGGTACAGAGCCATACAAATGATGCAGCACTGCCTCTAAGGAGCAGCCTGCACCCAGCAGTAGTTTAACCATATCTGAGTTAAGTTCATAAACCCTGGCCCTGTGGGGATTCTGCACAAACCCACATACATGTCTTCTTGCTGTGCTTCCTCTTTCCTCTATCGTCACAAATGTGTTCCAGTCCCCACAACACCCTAGATAATAGCAAATTCACTTTACATACATAAATACAAGTACAGAAGTCTTACACAGTGAAGTACTTCCCCTAGCCAGTAAAAGAATTAAAGAATTGCTTTATATTTTAGAAACAAGTATGTATTTGTTTCAGAAAGCGAGTTTTCTGTAAGACGCCCAACAACAAATTAAATAGTGAACACCTTTATTAAAAGGCCTGCTTCCCCTGAAGCCATCTTTTAACATGTTAGCAATGGAAGTCTTAATCATTCAAGGAACTGCTGTAATGTATCTGTTATAGGCAGATAAGGCTCTGGATAAAGAGATAAGGGCATGATAATCCTGAACTACAAGTCTGCCAGCAGTCAAAACAACAATCATTCACGCCAGAAAGATGGAGAGAACATTTTATGGATGTCTGAGGCCGACAAATAGATCTACTGCTAACAGATACAAACACATGCCCTCTTACAGGCAGGCTGGAAAACTGGCACTGCTTCCTGACAGTATTGGCTTCCCAGCATATTATGCAAAAGCAACTACAAGGGATCAATTTTTAATTTTTTTTTTAAAGCAGTCTGAAGTACAGTGTCATCATTCCGGTGCTGTCTTCACACCCATGTCTGTTGAGCTTGGAAACAACTGTCATTGCTCTCTCAATGCAGTAACTGCAACTGGAATGTCATCATCATCATCCTTCTGAGGAAGAGAAATATTCTAGTTCTCGTATTTTTATATAAGGCTCTATTTAAAGCTGAACTTCTATGGGTCAACACATGCACAGCAAGAGGAATAAAGTACTGCACTGGATGTGCAAAGGATGGCAAATGCAGTCCAAATGTCCACCACAGCTGATACTCGTTTTAATGTTCTACTTACATTCTTGGTGTGACCTTGTGCTCAAAAATAATTTACACCATGTCAACCAAAAACAGGACAAAGTCAGCTTTCCAGTTGTCCTGGAAAATCCCACACGTGGGGAAGGAAGAGAGGGCACAAACAGGGCACATCAGATGTCCATGCAGGCTAATGCTATGAAGATGTTCCTGTCTGGGACAGACAGACAAGAGCCCTGGCGAGGAACAGCATGTTCTGAGAAGTGCCCTGATGAGAAAAAGCACAGCACCAAGTCGACCACAGCCGACCAGCTCCCACCTCCAAGGAGGGCCACGTCCCCCAGCGGGGAAATACTCTGCAACAGGGAGCAACAGACCGCCAGGGCTTTTGGCAATCTATCAGCTCCGCGGTGCTAATGTACGTTACACAGCGTATAGGAAAGTAAAATAATTGAGGCCCTTCAGTCACAGAAGAGCTACGGTGGTAACAGGGACACTGAAATGACCTCAGACTTCTCTGCTGAGTGCCCCCAGTTACTCAACAGAAACTATTTTTAAAAAATGTACTTTCCTCCGTTTCATCCTCTCTTTCAGAATGAACAATCTTTAATTAAAAACTTGCTATTCCTTTTAGACTTTAGAAATTCCCCTATAAAGTTAACAGAATATCACTAGGAAAAACAACCATAGGACCTGGGAGCCTACAAACCCCAAACAAGGCTTTTCTGTAAATCGGACGATTTGGAAATCCCACAGTGACACCATTTGACTCTTCTGGCGGCAGCTGGCACCATGCTCCGAGTTGCCATCAGGAGCGAGTGATGACACAACGGATTGCCACCGTCCTGCCCTCTGGACAAACTTCCACTGCTGAAGAGGTTTCTGGAGACGTTCGTGCACTTCAACAGACTCGGTGTCAGACCCCGTGGGGCTATCGGGTACCCGCCAGCAAGAACAGTTGCTCCACACAATGCGTAAGAGCACAATAAGGGAAATAAAATGTATGGGCATTCAAACCAAAAGCCAAAATACTCCTTAAACATCCCCCTGACAGGGCTATGGAAGGGAAAATGTTAACATCGCCTTTTTGCTCAACTCTCTTCACCACATTTAACACCTTAAACCAAACCAAGGCCAGGGTTGCAGACTGCGGTGGTGGCAGCTGATCTGCAGCAGCGCTCATGAGCCCCTGACACCCGGGGCTGAAGCCCTCAGTTCTCCTATTTTGCCAGTCGTAATGGGCACACCCTGATCCACCATATGGGAGTGTAGGTTACAACAGGGGAGAAAAACAATCCAATTTGGCTCAAAAGTATCTTTAGAATGATTCAAACCATTGCTGCTGTGAAAAAAAACCCCAAACACCTCCCACCAGAGACAGCGAGACAGCATGTGATTGACAATACATGAGAGGATCCCTTTTTCCTCTAAAATTTAACAAACACCACCAGATTCCCTGGACCCTGACTTTTTCTCCTCCCTACTAACCCCAAAAATGAGAACTAGTGTTTGAAAAATCAAGCCAAGATCTTCAGTGTACACACAGAGGTAATCAGCACACAACCAAGCCAGATGCACATTATGCTATTCCTTAGCAGCAAGTAGAGATTCCTGCAGCAGTAATTAGAGATAATTAAAGCCTCTCTACAAACTTATGCTAGTTCAGCAAGCTGGAAATTCCAAAATGAAATGGATTTTCAAGAAGTTACGTAATCAAAACAAGGATTTTTTTTTTTCTTTTTATATATGCCTAGCAAGGCACTAAAACCTGAGATCAGAACAGCAAGTAACATAAGTGAACAAGTGACTCCTTTATGCTCAATTTTGAAAATAAAGGGGGAAGTAAGCACTGAAATGTGGAAGTGGATCCTGTGTGATCTGCCAGAAAACCAAAAAAAGGCTGTCCACAGCAGAGAAGTGTCCAACTTCTCAGTTCTGCTTCCAGATCTGAAAGCTGGCTTGGCCCTTCTAAAATAAACCTTGTTCCTCACTATGCAGTAGGAGATGAGCGCACACCGCTTCCAAATGCTGACCTGTTGATGGGCAGACACATTCGCGCCTACCCAGACAGCCACACATCTGCTGATGCTCCAAGCTGACCAGACATAAGCCAGCTCCAACTGGAAGGCCAAAATAACTTTAAGTCTTACAACAAAGTAGAGACCGATATAGCCATGCCGCTCAGCGGGGCTTAATAGCTCAGGCTTAGCACTGCATGGACATGCCTGCATCGCTTCCAGCCTAGGCTGGCTCGCAGCGCGGGCAGAGCAGGCATCCGAGACCTTCCCCCCATCCGCACAGGCACGCTACTTTGGCTGGAAGGCAACAGGTACCGAGGGTTTAAATATTGCTTGAAGCGCAAGGACAGCGGGTGTCCAAGTCTCGTGTGATGAGACTACACAACTCTATCCTGGATCCGGTGATAACACAGCTCTCCATGGGATCGTGCAGATTCATTAAGTGATAACAGAATGAACCGTCTCGTTATTTGCTGGGGTATTACAGTTCAGATACCACAGCGCAGATTTTCACGTACTGCAAATTGCTGCTGAATTCCAACACTAACAGCAGCTGAGACTTTACGCTGAACTCTTTTTCTCTACCCTGCTGTGCAAATTTAAGATCAGCTTTACTTTTCAAATCTGGAGCTTAAAGGGCATATTGTGCAAAATAATCCTGGAAAATCTGTCTTCTTTAGGTGATGAGAATAGTTTGTTTCAAAGATGTTTGTTTAAAAGGCTTTATAAGTAATAGTAGATTATAGTATCTGTGTTTGAGCAACATTAAAGAGATATTCAGAGAATGAAAACACCACACCAAGACTCCTGAAAATGTGACAGCCAAACCTTGGGAGATCCAATTCATTTTTGCATTCAGCTCCAGTTAATAAAAACTAAGCTGAGTTTGAGTGCAGTGAAAGATGCCTGTTCCTGATACACTAATCCAGGTGAAACACCTGCTGCAGTTCTCAAAACTCTACCCCAACTTTCCTTCTGTACTTGATCTAAATATTCCCCTTTAGATTCAGCCCTGCTGTTGAAAGAGGCTTAACTTCCTTTACAGTTTGCAAAATAAGGTTCCCAAGAGATATGATGGTCTCTCCGCTGGTGCCCTGAGCCCAGGTCAAGCAAACTTTTAACTGCAGTGCTAGGACAGCTGAACGAACAGCCTCTGTGACCATCAGCCCAGAGACGAGCCTGGGAAACAGAAATAATGGGTACCAAAAGCTTACCGGGAAGCAGAAGGAAAGCCAACAGCTTTCCCTGGGTGGGGCGGGGAGGGAATGCTATAAGCAGGTCTCACAAAGGATACAAAGGTTTCTGTTAAACGTTTCCATTAGTTATGTAAAGTTAATCTCCAGAAAACTGAGTTTAGCTCATCACCTGTTCCACACCCTAATCCAACTGCTGAAAGTGGTGATGTATCACTGACGAATGCCTTGAAATTTATGATAAAAGATGGAGCTGGAGTCTTTGATTCTCTGTGGGCATTGAAAGGAAGCATTTCCATTCTATTTTGCCTAGACAGAAACTATGCAAACTCCATCTTGTAATCTGCACGGGAGACTGGGAATGACTTGCTGAAAATGTAATACAACGCTCAATAAAGATTTACTGTTTCTTCCCATTCATCCAAATGCCAGGGTGAGCATTTCAGAATTGCACACTAAGAGCCAAACCGTTTGTGTTAGTCTTTAACCAGCGCACCAAGCAGGATCATTTCACTTATGGAGCAGTGGATTTAAGAGGTAGTTTACTGAAGGCAAGAATAGGATCTTTGTATTTTACCTGCACTTGAAAACCTCTTTCAACCAGATCTCTTCTAAAATACATTATTATATACTTTATATAATATAATTTACAATATTTGTCTCATGTACCTTGACTCCATCCAGAACAGCTTTTATGACACCCTTCACTGTTGTCACCATCTCCTTGTCTTCTGAATTCACACCTTCCAGCATCACTTGATCAGACCAGCGAATTAGATTGGCCAGACTCTGGTACACACGGCTATAGCAGGACGAGATGGCAGAACTGGACGGCAGGGGAGGAAAGAGTTGAGGAAAAAGAACAAAATGAAATTACGGAGATACTATCAAATGTTTCGGGAGTGCTTGATTTAAAGCACATTTGACGCTGTTAAAGATGTGATTGTTCTCCTTTTCTCTCTGACATTCAGAATTTGTGTTTAGCAGGTGACAAAGGCCGGGTTTCTCCTCCGCTGCAGTTGCTCTCCTGTCCTCCAGCACCAAATGGGATGACAGTACAAACAATCAACACTTTATTCTCAGTTAACAGAAGGAATTATCTGGGCTGCAGGTTAACACAGCAATGCTAAAAAGAACATGATTTCCATTTAAACAGCTCCGTCCTCTGCCTTAACTTCAAAGGTAAATATTTAAGTCCTATACTTAAGTCTAAGTTATATTATATCAGTTTTATCTATGCTTTCCTTCTTCCTTATTTACTCTCCCAAAAAATGTCTGGGATAATTGAGAGCTGACTGTATTCATTCCTTTACAAATCATTTCCTCACTGTTTATAATGCCTGAAAACATATAATTAAAGCCTGCTTCTTTACAGAAATGGAACTGAATGAATTTCAGGTTTGGAATAGGAAGGGTGTTGCTTTGTTTTGTTTTTAATGAGAAACAGAATTGAAGCTATTGTTCTGAAGGGGAAAAAAAAAGGAATTTTGGAAGGATGACAACTCTAAATAAAAGTTAACTGTAACAACAGTGCTCACAGGCATTTTCCTGGCCATTCCGAAAACACTTACTTCATTACTAAACAAGGTGTGTTAACAGTGCTGCTGATGGCAACGCTTCAACAATTCTTTGTAAAGCTAAATCAATTTCAAACTGCATCAAAACCATAAACAGATAAGAGAAGGTGTAATCTTACCATCATTACTGATACAAGCGTTCCAAATCGCCCCATTTCTCTTTGGTATCCATTTTACACTGGCTTAACTCCAGTAATTTCATTATCCGTGAGAAGAGAATCAAGCCCACAAGCTTCAATGAGATTATTTAGGTGACTGAAATTTGCAGGACCGGGGAAAGAACTATTGTCAAGTTACAACCAGGGGGATACAAACAGCGGCAAGTACTTTTTTGTTTGGCTGTTTGTTTTTTTTTTAAAAGCATGCTGCTTGCCATTTGTTCTAATTTCAAATGACATTAGCTTGGTAGGAGATATTTCCTAAATAGGGCCCTCCCCCATCTCTAAGGCTTTGATTTCTCTGCCATTAATCTTCAGCCTGCTTCCTTCTAAGGAGGCGGTAATTGAAAGCCAATTTTGTGCTAGATTTAATTACTTTTTTCCTTGATGCAAATGCTTCCCCTAAAGCGAAAAGAAGTCCAGCAATAATCGTAGGGCTTTCTACCACACTGACACAATTCTTGCTCACTTTTCTTGAGGGAGATTTGCTATCAAAATCACCCCTTTGTGTCCTGCCACTACTCAAAAGAAATAAAGTGCACAGGTAGGCACGAAAGGACATGGCTTTTTGAGAATGCCAGATCCCTTTTTTCTGTGAGGCTGAACAAGGCAGAAGATACATAATGGGATCTGTGCTGTAATACATACCGTTTCCAGAAAGAGAGACTTCTCACTATGTCGAGGACTCCAATGACTACCAACTATGAAAATTCTGCTTATATGGGTAAATACGGATATCCAACTGTCAAGGTTGCATTAGTTCACTACTAAGAGAGAGCGTATAAGGAATTTGACGAATAGAACTGTCTGAAATACTGCTGCTGCTGAAGACCACTTAGTTGATATTTATTTCCAAATATATTCTCGGAAGGAAAGATCACCCAGCGAACACCCAGTGGATACACAAATCAAAGCAAGCAACTATAAAGATGACATGTTCTATCCTAAAAATATTTGCTGACATTTTACATGTTCTCCTGGTGTAAGGGGAATGTTCATTCTTTCTTTTATTAAGTGAAAGCAGGTGCTTGTCAGGAATTTAATGGCTGTGGGAAACCTGATAGCAACTGAAGAACCTTTTGTGTCTCTGTCCAGAAGCCTGATGAATGTTCCCATTCCAACAGCTATTGCTCTTTGTAGTTCTACAGATCTAACCTGAATTAGGTTAGGTCTCTCCTGTCCCAGCCACAGCTCTGATACTCACCCATTGCCTCCTTCCTTTCGTACTGTCAGATACAACCCTGGCCTATGCATTAGGGCCAAACACAGCCAAGCATCTCTGTTTGCAAAATATTTGGCACCCTACTGCAGTCTCGACCACACTGTAAGCCTTTCTTGCACCAGAATTGAAATAAGCATCCTGAAACAAAAATTTTGGAGATGCTTAATGGGAAAACAAATAGGAACACCACAAAAACTGGCAGGATTTCAGGAACCAAACACCTGCATTTCTCTGCCTAGTTTTGTGCTTTTCTCTGTCTGCGCTAATTTTGCTCTTTCTATATTATTCAACGACGTTTGCTTGTTTTGTGTGAATCAATTATTCCAGCATCTATGGGATGAACAGCAGCTGTATCTCTATGGCTTGGCAACTCTACAAATTCTTATATCCATGCCGAGCTTTGCTGTGGCAAATTTGTACTTCTTTTCTGGCTTCAAACCCACTGTCTAACTGGTCAAAACATAACACACATCATCTGTTAAAACATAAAACAAATAATCTGTTGAGAGCGCATAGGAATGAACTTGGCCTGGTTAATCTACTGAAGTACATCTGTTTACTTCTGTATCTGATCCAGTAAAATCAAAAAAAGCAGTTAAGAGTGCAGGCTCAGACTTCTCTAGTATCAGGATGGATAAACTGAACACAAAGAGGGATTACTTTGAAGATAAACTCTTTTTCAGGTGAAAGCTATTGGATTTGTTAGCTTTTAGGATATCATCATGGACTGCAGAAACAGTACAGCATCTGAGGAGAATCCCCTGCTAGTAAATGATGAATTTCCAAGTTTATGCTAAGAATCAGCCCTTCCTCCTCTCTGAAACCATTCCGATTTGCTTTATCTTTCCACAGCACGGGCTTCTTCGCAGCAGGGAATCTGCTTTTAAATTATGTTTGAAAACTACCACATAATTAGTAAAAATAGCCGTCACTTCATTAGCCACTGCAGCATTCCTGTCTCCTGCATGATGCGATTCTTCGGACACAAGAAGGGGAGAAGCTGGGAGCCTGCTGGTCTGTCACAGACCCAAAACCCAAGAAGGAAACTCACCTTTGCTGGATGCGTGGATCGGTTTGCACCAAGGGCAGGATGGCTTCCAGCACTTTACTTGCTGAGCCTGGCAGCATCTCTAATACTTTCTTATCAATTGCCATTTTGTCCACAATAGTCTTAAAGTAGCGCAACGCACTGACGACCTCCTTCTCCTTCTCCTCTAGCCATGATACATTCTGAAGAGGAGGAAAAAAGGAGAGATATGTTAAAACCTCAGGATTTTTAAGGGCAAGGTTACTTTAACTTACCTGAAATACAGCAACCTTGAACGAGGTACATTCCATGAGGACTGGAGAAAACCCCTTCTACCACAAACACTTTTAAATTGAATTACTACTCTGTCAAAAGAACAGTCAGTGCAAAATTGCACCCACGCTTTAACTTTCTGAATTACGTGCATTCCAAACTGAAGGCTAATCTTGATCAGTTTTAGGCCAAGATTAACACTACTGATGACATGAAGGGCACTGCTTTGAAACCCACATGCCAAACTGGGAGGGTGAAAGAAAAATAGTATATCATTACTACCTGCACTCGGTAATGCAAGAAAGGAAGCAACAGCTACTGGTTTTAAATAGAGCTGCCCCTCTGATGAGATCAAAATCCTTTTACCTTAAGCACATCTCACTATCAAAACGTCTTTTCAATCAGTAAATGCAGTGGATCAGCCAAAGGGAAAAACAAATCAAAAACAGAAAAACTTCCAAACTCCAGAACAATCCAAACAAGATGCCTCCATTTTTGTACTCATCCCTGATAGTTTCAACGACATATGCGGTGTTCACCTGTATTATTCCTTGTAATTCTGCTGACTCCAATATGCCTACTTGTATGAAAGTGGGCGATAGTCTTGTCTCTCCATTTCCAAACAAAAAACTCCATTCTGATCAGCCTCCAACCTAAGTCATTCTGTGATGCTGCTGCAACAAGGGAACTCGCACGCTTTCCAGGGGGACAGACTGTGAAAGCTAAGTTTTGGCATCGGTGAATGAATGTTGCAGAAGGGAACAATTCATTGGAATAAAGCTGAGTTGTGGTCACCAACTTCTGTGCCACCACCAACACTAGAAGAGGAAATTCAGAAGTGATACATGATATCTTAATGGCATTCTGGACAGGGATATTTTTTAAAAGTTTACCAGAGTATGCCTGGAGGACTTTTAAAGCCACAAGTAGTTCCTAAGTGAGATTTAAATTAACTACTGAACACTGCTAGAAAAGGAGCAGAGAGCTTAGCAGAGTCAGGTTTCATCCATTATCTTCTCAGTAAATTCAGCTTCAAGAATTAATGACCTATGGGCGTTGTGTGCTCCCCATACTCTTGTCAGCTGCTAAACTGCTGCTTTTCTGCAAAATCAGGCCAGCAGCCCAAAAGGTTTTAGGAAGAACAATTTATAGGCAGCACTGGTTAGTAATTTGGGGCCAGTTGCATAAAAGGATTAGAGTCCCAAGTCCCATCTAGCTCCAACTTTAGAAGTCCCAATCCAAGATCTGCAAACCACCCTGTCATTTTCCATCTCACCTGGGAAGTGCCCAAACTCTGCTGCCGCTTCCACTTTTTGACAATATTGCTTGCCAGAAACCTCAAGTTCTGCTCTGCAGCCCACAGCACCCCAAACTCCCCTGCTGAGGAGCATCCCGGCAACTCAATGATGTCGAAAATGCCGCTTCCCATTTTTCAGCATGTGCCCTAACCACTGCACACTTTATTCCAGGATACGGAGAGGCTCAGTCCCTCCCATGAAGGTTTTGCACTTCATATGAAATGATCACACATTTCAGGGATGAGGGAGCCCGTATATTCCCCAAGCGAGTATGACTATGGCCCAGTGGTCAGAGCTCTCAAACAGGAGTGAAAAAATGTGGATTGCAGTTCCTGCTCTGATGGTTGTTTATGTATTTCATTCGACAACTGTTTCCTGTAGAAAGGCTTGCGACTTAATAGCTTAAACACTCTCCTGGCGCAGAGGAGGGATGGGCTTCACTCTGAGAGTTCAGTGCTGAGAATGACAAGTGGAAACACAAATTCTTCCGCTGAGCACATCAAGGCATGCAAATCCAGCCACCGGACACTATTTGGGACACAGCCCTTTCTTTGGAACTTCCCTTTTAGCTCTTTGAGTAACAATCCCATAAGAGCACTTTTTATGAAGGTCCACATTTTTGAGGTCCAAAGGTACCCTATATACGTATGTATACACATGCACACAAACACACCCAAAGAAAGCCTATACATCCTACACAGGATTGCAGGTTCTGCTACAGAGCTCAGATATGTAAATGTCAGTTGTTGCTACGAGGCTGAAGTTTCTGGTGTTCAGTGCTTTACTCACTGAGGCCTGAGAACAACAGCAATAAACGTAGAGAAAGGAATAATAACCTGGTGGGATGGATGGACATTAATACACTCCCGTGTCTGCATCTCACAAGACTAATGAGATTAAGCTCTTCCACCAGACATTTTAGTGTGTTCCTAAAGCCAAAGTAAACATGCAGTGGTACCCCTCTGGGTTGGCAGAGAGGACCTGAACTGATCTCTCATTTCATTTCTCAGTAGAGGTGAACTCGCCCCAGCAGTTACCTTACCCCAGCGAGAGAGCAGACTGGTAACTGGGAGCCGCTAAAGCGGCAGGACCGCTGGATTCACCCATTTCCCTTTTGGGCATTAAAGGAGATCAACTTAACGTTCAGGCAAAGCAGCATCTCCTCTCCACTCCCCTGCCTACCTGACACATAGAGATATTTTTGCATGATTTTTGAAGTTTTCCCTTAGATAATCGTTACAAATGCATCACGTATGAGATACAGCTGACCCAGAAAGGGTTGCAGCGAGCTGTACAGAATACACCTGATTACAAAAGCTGGAACGGTCCCTTTTTTTCCCTGCATTTTGGCAGTGAAAAGCCTATTATAACTTTATGCATATAGTGTTGAAGGACACTACTGTTCCTACAATATGCCCTACAATAAGAATCAAAGATAGGGTCCATGGGACAAAAGAAAGCTCTGAAAAAAACTCCCCCTACGTTGCCCAGATCTAGGTATAAAGGGGAAGAGGAGAAGATGTCTGCGTGGCTTGAGCATAACCTTCAGGTTACACGTAGTGATTTTGCATTAATTTTTAGTATTGCTATTTCTGCTCTACAGTGATTATCTACTTCAAAAGTATAAAAATAGCATCTTAAGCACTTAAGAGGGAAGAAAGGATGATATTTGGTTTATCAAGTGTGTCTTCTGACAGAAAATCTCCTGTTTGTCAACTGATGTCTGCATTCCAGTGAGAGAACCTGGTGACAACCCAGGCATATCCTCTTCTCCACTCCCTCCTCACAAAGCTAACAAGCTGACTACATCCAAATAATTGATTAGCTGGACAGTAGCTATTAAAATAGATAAGGAATGAGCCAGAAATCAACAATATTTCACAGTATAAAAATGTATACAGCTTAAATAATCATGTACGATAATAAAATTATTGCAAGTGTTTTGTTTCCCAATAAACAAACTCCCAACCTGTACATAAAAAAAGGTTTTACATGTTCAGCATGCCTTATCAGTAAATCCTCTTGCATTGTTTTTTAGAGAAAAGAAAGAAAAGCAAAAACTTCACTATTATTAACATGCTAATATATATTTGCTATAGAATAGCATTTTGAAAAGGGCTCTTCATTTTCTAATTTATTTAATATGTGGTTAGATATCAATTTAAAGGAAGGCCTCTAAATTATCTCAATATACCATCCTGTAACATCGTTGGAATTAAAAGCCTTCAAGGAGTACTCCCAGATTTTTTTTTTTTGTTTTATTTTTTAGTAGCAGTCAGCAATACAAGGCGCTCGGCTCCCTAGAAAGCATAGCCTCCTGAGGAAAAAAAACCTACAGCCTAGGAAATACAAGCCTCATCATCTTCCACCTGATGGTGCAGAACAAGGCTAGGAAGCCCTGCAGTGACTTCCCTGGGTGTTAAGAACATCACACAGCATAAGATAACTGTATCTTCCTGACTGCTCTCAATAACACAACAACCCTCAGCAGAGATTATCTAAACAAGTTTGCATGCCTGGCGCTGCACATTGGATGAGACTTTCAACAACAACTGGGAAAGATTTTGAATTATCATAAATAACCTTGACTATTCTTAACTTTGGGCTTAGATTTATACTTGAAAACTGACTGCAAGAGTACTGTTGCAGAGATAGTCTCCAGTCTACATCATCAGGTCACAGCAGCAGAGGAGATAACGCTTTGATAGGTTTGTGCTGGGAATGAGTGGTGACCTCGGCTCTTAGAGGACTTGAAATACGTTGGGTCTGAGGAACGGTGTGCTGGAATCAGCAGCTGCTTGAACGCATCTGTTTGACTCTCCCTGCTGATGTCGTCAGGATTGAGCACATCTTTGGACCAGCTTCAAGGATGTGCTCGCCTGGGTTTTGGGGTTTTTAAAAGGATCACACCCCAAAACCAGGAAGTTATTTGGAAGCTGTAAGCCTAACCATAAGGTGTGCATGTGGGGAGGATGTGTCAGGCCATAAACTACATTCCATAATGAGATATTTAAACGCTTATGGAAGGAGGTCTCATCAGGCTCTCCAAAGGGAAGTACACGCCTTAGTTGCTCTTAATTTATATAAAGTAACCCTGAGAATCCCTGAAGAATCTGCAGAATTCTGCAGAGGACAAAGTCACGCACTGAAAGCAGGGCCGCAGATTTTGATAAACTGAGTACCAGCAAGCAAGAAACCAGCAAGACTAACAGAACGTGTCCTTCGTGCTTACTTTGTTCGCTGACTTCTCTGGTGTTTTCACTGTCAGGTCAGCTTGCTTTCCTTTCTTTGAAGGGGTTCTCTTTATTTTTGGTGAATGAAACTTGCCCTTCAACTTCATAGTGAACGAGGAGAGATGGGAACGCTCAGAATCTAGAAAGACACAGAAATGCGTTACTGGATTAGGGTAAACTTGTTGAAACCAGGGAAGTTGTGTTACAGCGTTATCTGGAAGACCAGGCTATGAAAAACATTGCAACCATGTAAATTTATTGAGTGGAACAGGATAAAAAAAAAAAAATAATTTGTGGCTCCCTATTATGTTTCCAACCGCAATATCACCATCATTTCCCGCTTCCCCTCGGAGGCAGCAACGCTGCAGTGCAAAGGCAGGAACAGCGGGATTGCTACTGCTCTGTGCCTTGGAGAGAACAGGAAAAACACCTCTCTTAAAAGCACTTCTCTCCAGCAGATCCCAAAGTACTTTACAAAGGAGGTAATCATCGTCCCTCTTTTGCAGATGAGCAACTAAATCAAGGGGATGAAGTGACTTGTTCACAGACCTCTGGCAGAGCAGAGCGCCTGCCCGTGTCTTGGCTGGGGGTCAGTAGCCACCGTGGGTCTGCAGGCAGGGTCCTAGCCGGTACCCAGGACCGGTGGCTGCTTCAGGAAAGGAAAACAAGTCCAATGTAATGCCCTTCCCTGCTGCTGATCCCTACCTCCACCCACTTGGTAGCATCACCTTTGAATGCAGCTCCATGGAGAACGTGAACAAAAATGCCAGCCCTTGTCGTTCGCAATGGGTTTCACTTCAAATGTACCAGACAAACCAGAGAACAGGGGAACTGCTTCAGTACCGGGGCATCCTTGAAGAAGCGTAATTACAGAACTGCTCAACCCTTTAGAAAATTTTATTTTCATGGGGTTTTTTTAATATCTAAAAGCAGAAGTCTCAAAGGTTTGCAATCATGCCGTACGCAGGCTTACTGTTGAAATGTATTTTTATCTGTTTAGCCATGAAGCTAAATAAAACTGAGCTGCCTTGTAGAGAGCAATTTAGAATGTATTTTGAGCAAAGAGCACTTTAATAAATGAAGGTCTGACTTGCTCTCCAGTGACGCAGATAATTCAGCAGAAGACACCAAACTTGTCTTTAACTACATTATCAAGAAAAGTAAGCAGTTTTGCTGCATGTTTCATTTTTCTTATAGATTATTTAGGAATTGACTGCAGTGGCTGTAATGAGTCAAAACGACACAGTCCCATGCATGCAGCACTGCACCACCTTGTCAGCATGCAGACTGCAAACAGAAAAGGCTGCTGAGTCAAATCTAGCACCCAGAAGCTAAATACCACAGTGCAGCGCCAACACTGCCCCTCGTACTCAGAAATTACCTAACCACAACTCGAGGGAAGGAACCTGTGCTTGCCTCCCCGTAAGGGCTGTCTCCCTTGAAACGTGGTTTCCTGGTAACGCGTTAAGACCCTGCCATTAACACCTTCACCGGAGCCAAAACTCTGCTTAGATATGTCCTCTAGATCAAAATTTTGCAGGCATCCTATTAATGGAAGCTGTATCAGCACCGATTCTAATCTAGTCTGGCTGCAGACCTGCTTTCCGTTTACAGGAGTAAATGTTTTTTGAAGTTTTCTTTGTATCATGAAGTCCTGTTTAATGCACTGAGGAGGGAGGCACTAAAACCTTGGTCACTACCAATAAATCCAGACCTATCGGTTGGCCTCTGAAGAATCACTTACAGCAGCTGGCACCCTAACTTAGCAACAATTTACGTCATTGCTTTACATCCACAAGGGGATCTCCAAACCTTTAAAACCTCTCCGGCTCCACAGGCTGCTGAAGGTCACCACTGAAAACAGTTCCTGGCTGCTGTGATAATGCTCTTGTACTGCCCCCGCCCCCCTATAATTCGTATTTATTTCATACACCATGTAAGAATTTCTATATATGCACGTGTATGCACGCTTGCCAAGAGAAGTCATGGCTTTGAATTTATTTTTTTCAAGACCTAGCAAACAATTACAATAATTAATCTACAGGGAAATAATGGTAGCAGCAACAAATTGCATCTGGCTCCTCCACGGGCTGCAGCGAGATCCAAACTGCTAGTCTGAGTAAGAAAATGTTCAATACCCACAAAACCCTTGGTTGCTTATGGTGATAATTTCACCTTGTAGGACAAGAAATTTGGAAGGGAGAAAGATTTCAGAAGACGACAATTTCCTTTTCTCCTTGCCGCCAGACATCTCTACCCACCTCTATGGGGCAAGCCCACGAACAGCTGAACCAATGCGTGTGTACGGTCTGGAAACTCAAAAAGGAGATGTCTTCTCAGCAGAGAAAGTTTCTCTTCTGCTGACAGCACATTCCCTTCACCACCACCACCAGCCTAACCATTGCCCTTCACTCTCTTTACCCGTCTGTCACATCAAACACTGGATCATTTGCGCTCCGAGGGGACACAGACCAACAGAGCGAGGACAGGAGCGAGTGACTGGAGCAGAATAGGAACTTCTTAAAATAGTACTAATGAAGTAAACCAGCTGACATTTGCAAAAATAATAAACGTTATTGTTTGAACAGCCCTGCTAAGTTCTACTTTGAAGATCACAAATGAATGCAGCTTTTTACTACCATGTCTTTCCATCTACAACAAGCATTTTCCAGATCTTATCTGCTCATAAGTTTCTGATGCATTTGCAGTTAAACAAATGAGCCACAAACCAATATTCCCTTACACTCAATTACACTTAGCACTTAAAATACTGCTTTTCTTGTTCCAAGCACATTACAAACATATCTTTCTCATCCTTAAACAGTTAGGTCTTAACATTACTCTGCAGATGGGAAGCCGGCACAAAGGTGAAGCAAGTTGTCTAAACGGAGCAGAGGGTGGGTCAGTGGCACCAGTACAGCATCTCCATCAAACTGCAGGCCCTCGTCCCCCTCCCCATCTTCATGAATCAAGTGGTGGAGCTACTGTGATTATATTCAGTGACGGCCAACAGACATTATCCAGCACGATGGGCTTTATGGTTTTCAAGCAGATACATCATTCAAGTGTTACAAACAGAATTTGCATTTTAATGAACCTGGATGAAGTGGTATAAAAGAGAAGTTACACTTAAATAGGAAGGTATCCTAGCTCCAAGGTGCAAGTTACCTAAGCTTTTACAAATGAAGATGAATCTCTCTTGCAAAAAGCACAGCTGAGCAAGACTTCACTTTCTTTACACTATATCCTAACTTGAATGTCTAACATGTCCTATGTCTGTCCAGTTAAAAAGGTCAAACAGCACAGCATGCCTTTACAGATCAAATAATTGGATAACGTACAGAGAGAAGCAGAAAACAGAGCCATGGCAGTGCGCAAACCCCTTCTCCTGTCCCTCTGCTCCTTCTTGCCTGTCTGCAGTAACCAAACCCCTTAATGCAGCATTGAGGTTGTTCCTGAGCTTGGTAGCCAGCCCGCTGGAAATTGTTCTATCGTATTACCCTCGCCTCTTTCTGATGAATAACCGGCAGTGTTTAACTGGAGTCCCGGCACCGGCTTTCTGAACTTCTCTTTCTCCTTTCTGATGTGCAGGAGGGTACTCCGTATTTACTTCTATGCAGTGTCCAAGTATTTGTAAGACGAATAGGAAAAGACAGAGTAATAAACTCAATGCAGTTATTTCAACTGGAAGGGGAAAAAAAAAAAATACTGTTGTATGTACTGCATGTACTGTTCCGTCCCCTCGTATTTCGTCTGTCTGGATGCTCTGTTGCTGCACACAACTGCAAAAAAAATCCCTTCAAAATTACTGTACTATGGATTTGAGTTTCTTGATTTCTGACTGGAAGTTTTAATGCGTCACTCGTTTCATTGCTAATTCCATCCCCCTGTTAATGAGGCTCCTGCTCCGTTGTGCTTGAACGTGCTCCAGCTGTTGAGTCACGGCCCTGCTCAGCTCTCGGGCTCGCCTCCCCCGGCCGGCACGCGTCTGGGGTCCCAGCACACACACAACACGAGAAAGCTCACATTAGGCACCTGATCCAAGCAGCCCGGCTACCCGGTGTGGCCAGAGGGTTTTTTCGGCACCCCGTGAGCCCCCGGGGCCGGGGAGGCCATGGCCGGCTGGGAGCCGCCTCATCCCCTGGCAGCTCCACCAGCTCCAGCAAAGCGGTGCTGCCTGCCAGTTTGCTGACAGAAAGCTAAATCTGGTGAGGAAAGAACTGCAGATTTTAAACGACGACAGAGGATTAAGAGGCACAAGGGAAGGCAGATAAATCAGCTTATGCGCTTGTGGGCGAAGAAACTAGGCTGCTTAGGAGAAAGCCGGCAAGTCAAAGCCCAGCGTCCACCGCTGCCATAGTCAAATGGTCACTTTCCACTCGGGTTCAAACAAATGCCAGAAATTAGATCGAAACACACTCATGCTGGTAAATTCCACCAACCTAAGCCAGCAGCAAATTATTTACTTTAAAAGTCAAAGTGAAAGTTCAGCCTTTTACAGAGCTCAGTCACAGCAGACTTTCCAGCTGCCGGGTCCTCCTCGCCGGCCACGTGTAACCAGCACACGGGAGGCTTCAGGGATGGGACACAACCCCCCGTCTGCTTCTGGACCTCCTGGTCATGGTCCGGCACAGCTCAATGGCAGGCGGGTTCCAGCAGCAGGGATGGGCAATTTAACTGTTCAACTTGTCTAGTGCTTGGATCATACAAAACAAATTGAAAATAGGCGTTTTTTTAATTTAAAAAACCCAACTTTAAAATACAGTACCTTTTATTTCCTTCACCTGAAAACTAAAACCCTCCATCTTCTCTCACTCTGTATGTGTTCACACACCAAAACCCTGCAGCTTTGGAGGAGACAAAGCCTTAAAAAAGGGTTAGTTCATTTTCCAGCTTAAACCGACTCTTGCGGCTCGTTAGAAAGAACGAAGCAGAGTCTAAAAATCTTATCCCACAAATGGTTCCCTTTTCAAAGGCCATTTGGGTCTCTGCTGGATGCATATATTTAAAAGCTATCATCAGATTAAAAATAACAGCAGACATCTCTCCTCATGTCATAATGAAGCTATTGTGCACATTTTTAATCAACCGCTCCTGCCATTTATGCCACGAGTCCTCCGAAGGCAGAGGTGACTTATG